TAATTAATGATAAACTTAAGTTAATTAAAATAATTAATATTAAACTCATTAAATCATTGAATAGTAAAAATAAGTACCAGTACAAAATTCTTAGAATAATGAAGATTTGTTGTTAAAATAACAATTGAAAACACTTTTATCTAAATTATAAAAAATTGAATAAAAAAATGGATTAATTTATTATTAGTATCCAAAGTATCAAAAATAAGATATTAAAAATTTGTAAGAGTATAAAACAATAATTATGATTGGTTAAACTGGGAGTGGTAAAACTACTTTAATTAACTTTTTTTTGAATTATTATTTAGGAGTAAAATTTATAGATGATTTTCGATTAATCTTGATTAATGAGTCAAACTTAAACATATCAAAAACATAAGCAATAAGTTAAACTTAAGATGTTATAATTTATTATATAAAGCCTTTTAATAATAATCCTGGATTAAGAATTATTGATACACCTGGATTTGGAGATACCAGAGGTATTCAATAGGATCAAAAAATAGCAGAAAAAATTCATTTAACTTTCTAGAAGAATGTAGAAACTTTAACAACTATTTGTTTTTTAGTTTAAGCATCTAATGCTAGGCTAACTATAAATTAAAACTACATATTAGATCAAATTCTATAAATGTTTGGAAAGGATGTAATTGAAAATTTTGTCTTTTTGTTTACTTTTTGTGATGGAGGGTAACCATAAGCAAAATAAGCATTGGAATTCAAAGGAGATATTAATAATAATGGTTGTGCTATTGCAGACTAAATTCCAAAAATACCTGAGCCCTGGTATCTTAAATTTAATAGTTCGGCATTTACGGCTTCAAATAAGGATAAAAATGGAGATGATATTGAAATGACATAGTTATTTTGGAACATAGGTATTAAAAGCTTTGAGTAGCTAATTTAAAAAATAAAAAAGAATACAGATATTAGTTTATAATTAACAAGGGATGTGATTACAGAGAGAAAAAAAATTATGAATACAATATAGCATTTGCGAATTTCGATATCAAAACTATTAAATTTGATGGATGAACATAAATAAACTTATAAAATTATTGAATAATGTAGTGCTGCTATGATTGATTCTTAGAATTTTACAATTTAATAAACAAGATATAAAATAGAGTAAATTAATTTGAAATAAAGTGAATATGTAACGAATTGTATTAAATGTAATTATACCTGCCATTATCCTTGCTTTATACCTGAAGATAGTAATAAATCTTAATGTACTGCAATTACTAATGATTACTGTACAGTATGTTAAAATAAATGCCATTGGAATGTTCATAAAAATATGTCTTATAGATTTGAAAGTAAATAATATTATGAACAAGTTGAATTATCTGAATTAAAAAAAAAATATCTTTAGAGTAAATCAGATAAAAATTAAAGATAATAAATCTTGGATGGAATTGAAAGTCAATATGACCACGCTTAATTTGAATGTATGGAGTAATAAACTTTATTAATGAAATCAATGAATAAACTTAATGAAATAGCTTTATAACCTGCTGTTTTTAAACACTAAGAAGAATATTTAGAAATGATGATTTAAGAAGAATCATCAAAAAAGGATCCAGGATGGAAAGAACGAATATAAACCTTATTAGATATGAAAGAAAATTGGAAAGTAGTGAGAGAAATATATACTGGATCTGGATAAGTACAACTAACTTAAGAATTTTACAGAAAAGAGATTAAATGTAAAAAAAATAAAGGGTTTTTGAGTAAATTTAATCCTTTTTGAGAAAATAATATAAATTTATAAATAATATTAATTCTTTTTTCTAATCTTCTAATAATTCAAATAAATAACTTAGTTCAAAATAATATATTATTTGAACTAATAAACAACTATATTCAACTATCACTATAAATTTAAACAGAAACCAAATTTTCCATATATTATAAATCTTTATAACCTCAAAGTTCAAATCTCCAATTAAATGATAAAAAAAATAAAAGTCAATATACAAAAGTTCTTTATCAAAAAATTTAAATTACTAATCTTTATATTTTGAATAACACTAACAACTATAGCGAAAGCCATACTACAATAGATAGTTGAAAATAATTTAGTTTATTGAATTAGTATGAAATTTTAAAATGTGTTTGATATACAATAAATTTTCCTTTAGCATATTTCTAACTAACAGTTTATATAATATATATATTAATGAAGATAAATTCTGCCAGTTAATAAAAGTTAACTATGAATAGACCTTAAACAACTCCTTAAAAGGCAGGATAGTCACCTATAAAGAAGAATAAGTATGAAAAATAATTGAAATAAAAGGTATTTGGTTTAATCAGGTGTTTCATCGCTAGCTAAAACTGATAATAAAGTGTCAAAATCAACAGCATTATCTCATGATTTAATTTCTTTAATAAAAAATGGTGGAAATGCTCATCAAAATAACTAATAATTGGATAGAAAATAAAATTCTAGGAGTAAATGTATTTTGGACATAAATGATGCAAATTAAAAAAAAAATAGACCAAATTCAAGACAATAAATCTAAAATTTAGTAAAAAGTAAGAAACCTGATAGCAATTTAAAATATCATGAGGAACTGATTTAAAAGCAATTTCAGAAATTGTTAGATCTACAAAAGCAACATTAATAAACTCATAAATCACCACCTTAAATACATAGTAGAGCAATGAGTAATGGTGATTTAAAGCCAACAAGTGATATTGCAAATAAGTTAATAGAATATATAAAGAAATAATCAGCTAAGAAAATTAAAGGTTATAGATCAATATCTAATCCGGATATAATTGTGACTGATAGAAGATTAATATCAAAATATGCAGTTAAGTAAATAGTTTATATAAAATAATAGAACTTAAGCAGGAATGTTACATACAAAGTAAGAGAAAGTAAATTAGGATTCTTATGCAATTCATGAAGGAATAGGAAATATAGATAATTCATATTTACTTTAAGTTTCAGATGGACATGGAGTTAATGGTCATGAAGTTGCTTAATTTGTTTAGGAAAGATTACCTATAATAATAGATTAGTTATTAAAATCTCATAAAATAGGAAAGAATGATTAAGATATGATGATATAAGTGATTTTAAGATAAGCATTTGAAAGAACAACAAAAGAATTATATTCTTCAGGAATTGATATAACATTTAGTGGAGCTACAACAGTATGTTTATTGATTATTGAACATGTTGGTTGGTGTGCAAATATTGGAGATTCAAGAGCTATTTTAGGAAGATAAAAGGATGGATTACATGTTGTTGAATTATCTCATGATTAAAAACCAGATTTACCAAAAGAAGAAAAAAGAATAATATAAAGTGGAGGAAGAGTGTAAGCATATTCAGATGAAGAAGGAAATCCTATTGGTCCTGCTAGAGTTTGGTTAATAGATGAAAATATTCCAGGATTAGCAATGTCTCGAAGTTTTGGTGATTATGTAGCTGCTTAAGTAGGTGTAATCTCTATTCCAGAAATTATTAAACACACATTTTAAAATGACAAATTCTTAATCATGGCATCAGATGGAATTTGGGAGTATTAATTCATTTTTATTTAAGATTTCTCGATAATAAATGGATTGTTGAAGTTGTTTATGGATATTATTTGAAAAATGATGCTGAAGGAGCAGTTGAAAGATTAGTAAAAGAAGCCACTGAAGCATGGTAAAAAGAAGATGAAGTTATAGATGATATTACTTGCATTGTTGCATTTTTGAATTGATAAACAATAAATATCTTAACAATATATATTTCTATTTTTAATCTCTAATTTTATTAAATATATTATTTTAATGTCAGACAAACCAAATATTCCTGCACCTAATTCTTTGGTTAAATATGCAAGTGCCACTTTGGTTTCTACTTCTGGAAAACCTATTAAAGATAAAAAAAAAGGAAGAGATGCAGCTCCATAGTCAATTACTAATGCATAAACAGAGGATATATTAAATTCAATTCTTCCTCCAAGAGTATTATATTAATTCCCTAATTTAGGAATATACAATGGAAAAATAATAATTATGGATTTAATGTGTCTCTTCCACTCCTGCAAAAAGAGTAAATTTATTTTATATTCAAAATAGGAAGATGTTATTCTGCTTTAAGAAAATTTAGATAAAAAATTATAATAGAGATAAGCCAGAGAAACTGGTATATGCCCTATTCGAGAAGAATTATATGCTTAATGTTTTGATGAACTTATAAGACAAGTAATATTTGTAAGTTACAATTAGATTACAATAAATTGTGCTGAAAGAGGACTATTATTAGTTCGAGTTAGAGATGAAATAAGGTAGACAATTTAGGCTTATTAAACTTTATATGAGAGTTCTATTGCTTTTGGCATGAGGAAAGCCTTATAAGCAGAATAAAGAAAAGTAATTATAAAAATATAGAATTTTTAGACTGATTACAATAATAAAATTAAGTAATTAGAAACTGAATGTCAAGATCTAACAAAACAGGTTGAAAAAATAGAAAGCACCATAGAAGATATGCAAAGATTGGATTAAGAATAATAAGAAAATGAAGAAGCTAAACACAGAGATTAAGTCAATTTCTTAAAAAATGCAAACAAAGTGTATAAAGAAGAATTAGAGAAGTTTCTCACAGGGGCTAACGTTAAAAAATGATTAATATAATATTACATTTGAAAAAAGTAGAATTCTTTTGTTTTAAAATATATGAATAATAAAATTAGATAGATGATGATAACTATAAGTTAATTGACTAAAAAAATTACTATTCTTATCTAAGTACATAATTTGACTCAAAAGTAAATTTATTATATTTTTGATAATAAGAAAAAAATTATAATGTTGTTTGTTATCAAGACTTTTCCTTTGAAATTAATACATTAAAATGTCAATTAAATTTTATAACATAAATTAAAATGAAGCCTCAACTATAATTTTATCTTGTCACTAAAGTCTTACTACAAAGAAACCTAATTAAATTTCTTACAATAATAATTAAATAAAAAAAGAGTAAATAATTCTGAGAGTAAGATGGAATTTATTATTATTATAATTATTGATTGATTGATTTATAACTGAAAATATTATGAACTTAATAGGAGAAGACAAAAATAATCCATTATTATTAGGAATTATCTTCCAATTATATATCAAATACAAATAAGACTGAAATGAGAATAATTAAGGCCACAACTCAAATGATATTGTTTTTAATTTTAATTATATCTACCTATATCACTAAAAGCGTAATTTAGACATACTCATTAGTATATAAATAGGTTTAGCAACTCTTCAATCGAAAAAATTAAATAATGAATAAACTTACTGCTAAATCAATATATGAAATAACTGTAAAAAGCTATTTAGGGAAATCATGAAATAGGAAAAAGCAGAAGTATTATTTGATTTTAAAAAAAATCAATTTTTAGGAAGATAACATTCTTCCTAAAATTATCAATTCTAATGTCAAATATAGTTGCAGATGTCTATGTAAATTGAGGTTAATGTTGACGTTTTATTAATATTAAAAGTATAAGGCCTTATGATGCAATTTAGCAGTAAAACTTTAAAACTACTAAAATAATTACTAAAGTTAAATTAGCAGTTAAAGAACTGAATATTTTTAGAATAATTTTTTGTTAATAAATTTAAAATCATATAAACTCAATGAATAAAAAAATTATTTTGACATAATTATTGAAAAAAAGAATTAGAAATCGCTATTAAAAAGGAGTAAAGTAAAAGTTTCTGGTTTTGATATTTTTTAAATGCTAAGACTTTTTTTACAATTAGCAATACCATCAGCTTCTTTTGCAACAATTTCATAATGCAATAAAAATGATATTATCAGAATTTCAAACCCTATAATAAATTCTTAAATATTCTACTTTTCTTTTGTTGTGATAAAATAACAATTTATAAATTAAAATGAAGGAAAAGAATGATTAAGTTAATCAAAGAATAATTAAATTCTGTATTGGATGTGAATTCTAAAATAGAATAATGGATTCAAATCAAGTTGATTTAATTTCATTTACAAATACTTAAAAACCATCATCGTTTATTAACCACTCATTTTGTTATTTTATATAAATATGTTCTTTTGTAAATTTATATAAAAATATATATAATAATTCGAACATTCTTTAAAAGTTTTTAAGTTGGTTCTTTCGATTAAAAATAAATATATATTTTATGGACTCTTAATACGAGGAGGGAGAAATAATGACTCAGAAGAGCGATAAACTAGAACGTATAAATAGTGAATCCTCTTTACGCTCTCTTGTAATTTCCTAAATTTATTTATAGAGTGACACAAATGGGGATGATAGAGTGCGTAAATTCTAATAAGAAAATACGAGTTCTTTTTCTTATGACTGCGCCATCTTTAATTTTTTAGGCCATTGTACACAAGTTGGTTGCAAGTATTTCTATTTATATTTTTTTAGAAAAAGACATATCTTATTATAAGATGGATTAGAATAATTCATCACTGAGAATATGCAATTATTGAATTAATTGATTAATAGTGGTTAAAAAATTAGAGTTCCTATTGAAAGGATATTAAATAGAGAAATTCTCAATTCAAAACACCAAGTAATCAAACCTAAAGTTATAATTAATTACAATCAAGAACTCTGTGAAAATTATAAAAGAGCCTTAACTCATAAATTAAGAAAAGATATTGATAAAATGGAAGATAAACTCAAAACCATTTCCTATCTCAAGAAATGGGTGAGACACAATTTCGTAGATGCTAGAGATTTTAGTGAATTGTACTATTCTCTAAATTCTACATAATAAATACATTTTATGAACTTTTTTAAAGTTCTTGAGTTATAGCCACCCTCGTTTCAATGATCATTATACATATAAAGTTTGTTTCTGTGTATATATTAACAATCATCTAATCTTTAAATTGCAAATATATATATCAAAAATGAAAGTTTTCATTCTAGTTTTTTCAACTAAATAAATTTTCATTCTTCTTTTCCATTTAACTTAAAAAGAACAGAGAACTTATTAAGAATATTTCAGATCCTTTATCCTTGAATATCGTTAGTATGAAAGCTGTTTATAAGTATGTGTTTTATTTAATTTTTTCAAATTACTCTTCATCTTGAAGTATTATGAATTGTTAAACAAAGTTAGAAATAATTATGTATGTAAGAGTTTCTAAATTAGATTGGTTTAAATTATGTTCGAAAGTAAAACACTAATTATTGGCATTATTCTATATAATGAATTATTTTTAGAACAATTATTAGTTTTAGGAAAATCAACTGACTAGATTTTTTTTGGCTTCTGCATATACTTAAATAAACTGTGTTATGATCTATTTCATAATATCTTCCTTATATAAAAGGTAGCATAATTCGATAGATGAAGTTAATTTTCCTAGTATGCCTAGAACTATAGTAAAGTGTTTGTTTCTAGAGATTTTTGTAATTGTTATAATTAATTGGTTTAGAACCCTCATTAATATGATTAAAAGAGATTATTTGTCATTTCATTAAGTTTTTGAATAAAGAGTATAGTTTAAATGTCACTAAAGACTTGTAGCTTAAGCTAGAGGTTCAAGCTATAATGACTCTGATTATTCAAAGTTAATTGATCAAATAACTGGGTTTTAGTAGAAGATGAGAAAAAGAAATCATTAAATTCAAGAGTAACAAATATAAGCAAAAAATGAGATACTATCTTAACGATTAAGATCTATTCAGAAAACTGAGCCAAAATTACAAATAAATGACCTAAAAATATTTAGTTCTCGAAAGTAATTTCAGCTGCAATTTGATCGGGAAGTAACAAAACAAAATTCTCGACTGAGAGAGAGAATAAAGTCGATGTATAATTAGGAATTATATAAAGTGAGTCCCAAATAAATAGAAAATCTCTGAATTAAGATTTTGTGAGACATTAAATAACTTTAGAACGCATGCAAAAGTTTAAGAGAAAGAATAATCGATGTGTATTAAAGTCGTTAGAGAGAATAGAAAATAGTGAATCACAAAAATTATATTTGAAATGCAATACTCAAACAATAAAAACTGAGCCAGATAAGGAATATAGTGCATGTAGATCGAACACTAACAAAGTACTAAGTTTTATAAATCTAATTGATTGATTTTAAACAATAAGAAAATTAAATACATAAATTTAATTTTTTGATTATGTTGATATGTTGTATAATGTTGTATAATGTTATATTATGTTGTATTAAATCATAAAATTGATAACATCATCAATCCAAAGAAGATAATGGAAATCATAATTTATGAGGAAGTCTCATCATCACATGAAGTTCCAGAACAATTTTCAGAATTATAAGCCTATACTTCTGCATCAGTGGGACATGAAGCATCAGTAGATTCTTTAATACATGTAGAAGATGTAGATGCAACAGCTGAAGCATCTGAAACATCAGTAAGGATTCTTCTACTAGATGATTAAGTTAGAACAGCATCTGAAGCAATGATTACATTATTAGCTAAGAATTTGAATTTGATTTCATAAATGGTTCCATCAGTTGTTTTATTATGCAATTTAGGTTTCACTTGTTTAGTTACTCCATTAGCCGTAACAGTTATTTAAGAATCTCCAGGATGCCATTTTCCATCATTGAATCCATTTTCTGTTATACTTTATTTAAAGTAAATAGTTTCATCTACTACTAATTCTGGATTAGCTACAATGTTTTAACAAGTAGAATCACTTCCACAACATTCTAATTTTGAAGCAGCTTATTAGACGCATTTTGTTTATGCAGCATCAGCACATACTGGTTATCCTCTAAGTTTTGGTTAGAATACAAAATTATTTAATGTTGATAAGTCAGTTGTCATATTGGCAACAAAATTGAAAGCAAAAGACACAATTTATTTAGTATATTAAGTTGTTGAGGCATCTACATTTATTGCATAAAATCCTTAATATACAACTAAATCAGTCTAAGTATCCTTAGCCAAATAGGTGTCAAAGTTACTATTTAATGATAATCATATATAGAATACCTCTTTTCAATCAAGAAAAACCATGATCTTGAGTTATCAGTATTTAGTACTGATGTCAAAGTAGATGAATCTATCGTTTCATTTATAAACCCAACTTTAAATCTGACAAGACTAACTGATAAACAACTATTAGCAACTTCTAATGCTGTTTCTAATCCAGTTGAGTTTTAAAATTTTAAGGATACTTTTAGATTTCCATTTTCTAATGTCAATCCAAATTCTGGTTTATTTGGTAGTTAATCTGCACCAGAGTTTTGTTTTTTCTATTTGAAATAGTTTAATTTGGATGCACAAGTTCCAGCTTCTATGCATTCTCCATTTACAGCTATTTAGGTCTCAGTACAATCTTAAGGATTAGATTTTTCAGCTTATGTCTATCCTTATGAATTTCCTGTAGAGTTACCTGTTTGTGCAAACACTACAATTGTTAAACTAAGCAAGAATAATAGTTAATTTTGTTTCATTAAATAAATTCATTGACAATTTTTGTAATTTATATAAACTAATATAGAACATTCTATGTAAAGCCAATACATTCTAGATAATTATTGATAATATTAATTTTTGATTATAATTCACTCAAAAAGCCTTTCTAAAAATGTTTTATCTTTATCTGGCTTTCCTTATACTTATGGCTATTAAGGCTAAGTTGGGATCTACATATTAATTATTAACTTACTTATTAAGGAGGAGCTGTTTATACTAATTAACCAGGTTAAATTGGTGGTAAAGTGTTTCTATAGAGAGTATTACCAGCTGCTGGTAATCTCTAATTGTCTTTGTAAATAGAAACTGGAACTGCAGTTGTCTGAGCTAATTAGGATGGTAAAACTGTAGTAGTTGCTAAAGGAATTGAAGCTTAAGGTATTGTTGTTTAAGGTTAAACAATTGTTGTAGCTGGTTTACTTAAAGTTCTAGTTTAAGGAATCAAACTGCTTGTTTAAGGATAAAGGTTGGTTGTTTATATTGTTTAAGGAACTACACTAGTAGTTTATATAGTTTGAGGAACTGATTGTAATTAAGTAGTTGTAATGGCAGGTTTTTATTGAACATATGTAGATGTTAATTATGTTTATGGTACAATAGTATTCTATACTACAGGTGGTGCTTAAATTGTTGCTGTGGTAATTTATGGTTATTAAATAATTGTATTTACTATTGGCTATTGAATTTAATGTTGTCCAGATATTAATGTTGTTGTCTAAACTTAAGGGGCGGCTTAATACTTTGTTGTAGTAACTTATGGTTATTATGAAATTGTCAAATATTATTGGGGTTATTAAGTCTTATACATAATTATAAAACTCTTACCACTACCATTTACTATTATTATACTCTCTACGTTTGAATAGTTTATGTTTATTATTATGCTACTGTTTATTGTTGTATTGCTGGCTAAGCCTTAAATTTATTATTGATATTCATACAGGCAATATATTTTATTTTTATACTGTGTAATATTCTGTTCTCTCTTATATTCTCTCTACTGGTACATATTCTAATTATATATAATGAATAAATTAATACCAATTTATTTCTCCTAAATTACTTAAGGAATATATTCAACTTCATATTAAACAGCATAATAATCAGTTATTTATCGTGTTATTGGCACTTGTACTTACCTTCTCACTTCCTCATACTCTGTAATTACTCTCTCATATGGAACATATTCAATCCTTGATTCTCCCTTTATTGCTTATTCTGTCAAGAGTTATGAACTCAATTACACTGGACCTGTCTAATAAGGAACACCATTTTATCCTATGATCTATGATTATGGTAATGGTTATTATCCTTATTGCTATAAATAAGGAAGTTGTTGTGCTGGAAATCCACTTATTGGTGCTCTTCCTATATTCTAAGGTGGAACCACAAATTATGGCTAACTCTAAGGTAAAACCTATGTTGGCACTCCTTATTAAGGAATGAACTAGTTCTGGTTTTAAACTTAAGGAATATTTGATTAAGGCAAGTTTGAATGGCTTTTCGATTGCTATCCTTATTAAGGGAGCTATGACATTTTTATTAATATCTTATTCTCTAAATATATTCCTTTATATACACACTAATAAACTACAATAAAATTATTTCATTTATTAATATACTTGATGACAACTATCATCTTATATTACATAATATTCAATTAATTATCATTTTACTACCCTATTTATCAACTCTTTTTTTATTTATTATCAATTCCTAAATTTTATTAAACTCCTTATTTTCTACAATCTTTCCAAACCTATACATTAAGTTGATAATTTTATTAATCTTTTTAGTATCTAAGCTTTTTTAAAATCAAATACTTCTATACAGAAATCACTTAATTAAATATTTTTAGAACATAATTTTCTTTTAAAATGTTTTAGAAAATGTTTTAATAAGTTTCTTCAATCTAAATAAATGGATAGTTTCATACAGTTAAATTATCTATTAGTCCTAATGAAAAATCTATAGTATTATGGTTATAACACGATGGAAATAGATTTTTTACACTGGATAAAATAAATAATAATTGGAAAACTCGAGAATAACATTTTACAATTCCTGGTCTTGTCTAACCTTCAGGAATTCACTTAAATGAAAATGGAATGATCCTTATTATGTATGATGTTTCAAAGAGATATTTATATACATGGCTTAGATACCATAATAATTCTAATTGGCTCTTAAGAAATACCTTAGATCTTAAAACAACTATAGATGCTCCTACTTCAGTGATTAATTGTTTTTTTTTTAAGGATTAAGTATTTATAGATTACTAACACACTTTTTATATTATCAAAAGAGTTAATCAAAATTTCAAGATTATAAATAAATAAATCTTTAAAGATAATGATTATATGAATTGTTTGGCATATGGCTATGAAAAGGATGTGTTAGCTGAAGTTACTGACTCTATAGTTTATTTTTGGAGAGAAAATTAAAAAACATGGATTAAAGAAAAAAATGCTTTCTACAATAGTGAAATTTTACCTCACCATTGTTGTTTTTAAGAAAATGAAGTAAAAGCCTTTGTTAATGGAGCTGTCTGGATGATATCATATCCAGAAAGGGAACATAAGGGTTATTTAGATGATAAAATTACACAAAAAGCTACTCAATCATCTTTAAATTATTTCTTTCAACTTGATATACCATTATAAAATTAAGATTAGTTTATTCATTTTTGGTATAGAGAAAATTAAAAATAATTAATATTTGATTATGAAAAATTAAGTTTGACAGCAACAAATATTTTATTAGGACGAAATGGAAATGTTTTTTTAACTTTAAAAATATTTGAATAATTTATCAAAATATAAATATTTGAAAGAATATGATTTTAGAAATAATCCAAAAAAGATATATGATTATTATATATGATATATATATTTTAATTATAAGAATGGTTTTAATTATGAATTTTTCTATAGGAATCAAACCTTAATCAAAACTCTTCTTCATTAAATTATTGTTTAAAATATGTAACTACTTAAAGATGTCTAAGAAGTTTAAGATTATAATAAGAATTGATTGTATTTATATGGAAAAAAGTTTAATTTATTAAAAGTGTATAAATAAAGATATATTAAATACTAATTTAATTATCAAAATACTTTATAACTGAGATAATTTTGATTTTAGAAGAAAATGTTTATCTTTACTAGTCGAGGTATGAAAATAATATTAAATGAAGTCATATCTTAATGTAATTAGCGCTGATTATATTAGTTATAATGTATTTCCAGTCTATTTGAGATTAGTAAAAATAAAGATAAAGTGTTGATTCTTGATAAGAGGTGTAAGGTAATTATTTTTTTATTTTAAGAACTTTTTTGTGCTTTTAAGAGGTATATAATAAATGGCTCATATTTATGATAGTAAAATGTAGAATATTGACCCAGCATTGAAGAGGAGAAAATAAACCAGAGTGAGAAAATAGTTAGTAAACAAAACTTTACAAGAAGAAAGCGAAGAAAATTTCTTGATTGAAGTGCAATAGAAAGTAACGAAAAAATATCAAAATTATTTACACACCATACAAAAAATGGGAGATTTTGATTGGACAGATATTGAGAATACAAACAATATAAAGGTAATCTATCCAAGTAAGCTATGTCTTATTTCAAGTTCAATTTTTACAAGCATCTACTTTACAATTTATGATTGCAGCGATGTATTTTAATTGTGATCAAGATTATCTATAACATAACCTTTAGGAAGTATAAAAATTGATCAAGAAAACTGAATAATCTAATGGAATTTCATAATAAGAGTAAAATTATTGTTTAATTAAGTGATTGTAAAAAATAGAAAAATAAAAAAGGGTATGATGTGAATGATGATTTATTCATTTTAGAGATGAGATAATTATAAATCTAAGATTTAGATGATATTATTGCCAACTAAGAGTACTATTATTTTTATTTATCTAGATTAAAATTAGAAAAATTTTAGAAGGAAAATGAAAAAGCTATTGAAAATTTCTTAAATGTTGATATACCATAACTTAAACCAACAATTAAAACAGATTAATCTAACAATCTTTTAAGGGATATTTTTGGATTAACTGAGTATGAAAAATAATACATAGAAAAAATAGAATTGAAAATATAAACAGATGGATAAAATGATGTTACTTAAGAAACAGGTAAGAAAACATAAGGAGGAAGAATTCATTTATAACCAATTTTAGATGATGCTCTTTGTTAAGTTTGTAATGATGGAGATTATACTGATGATAATTTGATAGTTTTTTGTTCAAAATGCAATATATCAGTTCATTAAAAATGTTATTTAATTGAAGTAATACCAAGTGAGGATTGGATATGTGATGTATGTTAGACTTTTGGACCTAATGGATAATATTTACGTTGTGCTTTATGTCCAAAATTAGGAGGAGCTATGAAAGCAACATAAATAGATGCTTCTTGTTTTGAAAATTTAAATCAAACATATTTTGAATCATAAGGAGAAACAATGATGAAAAATGATTTAGTTTCTAAATTATGTAAATTTATAAATATTATAAATAGTCTAACAAATTGATGATGATTAAGAATTATATTATGATTTCAGTAAATTACCAAATAGAGATATTAGAGATCTTGAAAATAATAAAGATATCAAGGAACCATAACCATAAAAAGTATGGATACATTTATCTTGTTTTTATTGGTCTCCTGAATGTTTTTTAGATGAAAAGTAAGACATATTAAGAGGTGTAGATAATATTAATTAAAAAAGATTTACTCTTAATTGTTGTTTATGTAATATTAAAAAGGCAGGAATGTGTATATAATGTGCTAGAAGTAGTTGTTAAATTGCATTTCATGTAGAATGTGCTAGAAGATCAGGAATATTTCTTACATAAACAGTTGTCAACACAAAACCAGATTATTAAATATTTTGCTAAAAACATTTACCTCTTAAAGTAAAAAGAATCTTAGAATCTAAATAAAGATTATATGAGAGAGAAATAATTGATTTTTTTAGGGCTTATGAAAAATGCAAATCTGTACATAAAAAGTCTTAATAAAGACCTAAAAAAACTAAATCATCCAAAGAATCTTAATAATAGTAGTAGGAGATTTAAGAACATTAAGAAGGTGAAATTGATTTAATTGATTTTGCAACTAAATTAAAAGAATTCATAGATTAAATTTTAGATTAAAAAATGATAGTAAATTTAAAATTACAAGATGGTAAATATCTATTCGAATCTTTATCTGAACCATAATTAAAATAATTAAAATAATATCACTTAACCAAATTGCCAGAAGTATATTAAAGTAAAGTTGATTAAAATGGATTACTTATTACATAATTTTATAAGAGTACTATTACTGCAACTGATGAATTATGGAAATTCTTTAAATACAGAGATTATGAAAAGGATATCATTTATAAAATGTATGAAAAATTGAGAAGAAGAGCAAGTAAATTCATGCAAGAATTAAATCCTTAAAAAAAACAAGCTAAATTAATTGATATGTTGATGTTAAAATAATTTAAAAAAAACAAAAAAGCTGATTATAAAAAAGAAATTATAATTGAATAAGTTGGGGATTAATATTTTTAAAGAGATGATAATTTATATTGTGTTTGTAAAGGAAAGTTTAAAGATGGTAATCCTATGATTTGTTGTGAATCTTGTGATGATTGGTTTCATTTTGATTGTTTAGAAATAATAATTCCATATGAAGAAATAAGCAAAATGGATTTTTATTGCTTTTTATGTATAGATGATCTATCAAAAGATAAACAGATTGAAATATATAAAATTTATGCCAATGTATTTAAAGATGCCTCATTTAAACTATAAAGAGAATTAGCTAATAAATGTGCATTAAATGAATCTCGAAAAGCTAGAATGAATGAAATTAAATAAGCTAAATTAATCGAAGACAATAATAATTTAGAATAAGATAATCCATGTTCAGATCTAAAATTAGAATTTATATAAATTGAAGAAAAAAATAATAATTAAAATATTGTATCTAATAATTATGTCGTTAAATAATGTCAAAAAGAAATAAATTAAATAAATAATAATTATATTTAAATCGAGAACTAAAATGATTGTTCAGAAAAAAATAAAAAAATTGATGAACATGTTAAGACCCCAAGTAAAACAGAATCTGTTGAAGATCCTGATAATAAATTAGAAGTACCAGAAACTCAAGAAAAACTAAATAGCAAACTTAAATAAAAATCTTTACGTGACTATATACCTAAATAGTGATTTTATTATATTTCACATTTATTATTAAAACCAAAAGATCTCTGAATTTTAAAATTTATTCCAAAGAATTATAATTATTAGATTATTTTATATTAAATAATTATAATTATTAGATTATTAATATATTAATTAATAAGTATAGTTAATTTGATTGAATGATATAATGAAGGAAGGTACGGTTACTATTACATAAAACTAATTATTTTAAAAATAAAAGATGTTCTTTGTATATTAGATTAAAAAACAAAAGAAATAGAGTTATAATTTATTTATCAATGCCTTTATCACTAAATAAAGTCATAGAGCATTTTAAAAAATTAAAGCAAAATGATATTGATTGAATGTGATTAAAGAATGTTTTCAAAAATGATAAATGATTGTTTATGTGGAATAAAACGTTGATTTTAAGATAAGATAATATATTAAATTATTCTTTCTTGATTTTTTCCTTGTTCTTTGTTTTTTTCTAAAAATTAAAAGATTGTATCTTATCTTAAATATAGAAATGTTAGTTTTAAAGAATAGTGAAGAAGGATTAATGTTTGAATAAAAGTAATAATATGATGATGTAAAAAATTTTATATCCGTTTTTGGATTAGTTATTAGTTCCAAAGTTTTTTGTATTTAAAGGCAAGAATGAAGTTGGAATAAAACATTAATATTTTTAATGAAAGTCGCTATCACATTATTGGTTGTCTTAGCCCTCGCTAATGCTGGTATGGTGTAAAAATTCCCACTCACATATGGTGGAAAGAGAAGCATCATGAATATCATGGTTGAAGTTGAAAACAAGATCAAAGCCCACTCACCACTTGATACAATCAGAGGAGTTCTTGATAACTTCAAATCCGCAGTTGCTTAAGAATAAGGAACACATGATGAAGTTTATGGAGCTTAAAAGACTGAATGCGAAAGCGAAATTGCTTATAGAAGAGCTGAAGTTGAAGATGCTACTGGTACACTCAAAATTGCCAACGGTATTTTGAAGACCTCAAACATCTTATTAAGAAAGACCTAAGCCACCCTTGGTGAAGTTGAAAACATCTTGAACACAGTTTCTTTACACATTGGACTCATTAATGATGCCAGAAAGGAAGATACTTAATCATACAACAGAGGTGCCGTTACATTCAATGATGCTATCAACGCCATTGATGATTCTCTTGATTTGGCTGCCGCCTTAGCTAAAGGAGGTGCCAGTTTAATCTAAGTTGCCGAAATGACAACCAGATTAATGAAAGCTTCAGTCTCCACCAAGATGAACAAGGCTTTCATGGCCCCATTAGCTGCCTTAGCTTAAATCACATAAGAAGATGACAATGTAGGTGCTGCTGAAAGACTTGCTTAATTATTATAAACCTTGAGAAACAACGTTGAAGAAGCATGGGCATCATACACTGCTGAAAACACTAACGCTTTAGGTCTTTTCACCTAATAAAAAGATTTATATCTTGCTTCATAAGGCAGACTCGATGCATCAAAGGGAAGATTATCCAACAAAGCTGAAAACTTATAAGGAGTTATCTCTGTCTAAACTGCTGTTGCTTAAGCTGCTACCAACAAGAAATAAAGAAACCAAACTTTATGGGATGATGCTGCAGATTTATGCCACAGTTTCGATGTTGAATACAATGCCGTCACTGCAGGAAGAAGATAAGAATTAGTTTTGGTCTAAGAATTAGAAAGATTAGCTGAAAGAAGAGCTGCTGAATAATAATGAGATATAATCACATCCATTATTTTTTATTCATTCTTTCCCATATCATTTTTTCTTTCTCCTTCTCGTATTTTTATTATTATTATATTACTTATGCTTATCAAATTATAATCAATTCATCTTTAATTATAAACTTTAATTTACATCTTCTTTCATTCTCTAATTATTCAATTAATTAATTAATTAATTATATTTTATTATTATTAATAAATCAATCGCTACCAAAACATCTATGCATAGCAAATCCTCCGCATGCTATTACCATTATTATGTAAATAGCCAATAATCCAACTAATACTAAAATTATTGTCATTTTTTTATTTCTCCACCACATTTATCTTCTTAATGTTGTAGCATTTTCTTTCATACTTGTTGAAATACTAAGGCTAATCCAATTTTTTACTTAACCATTACATTTGTTTTTTCTACAAGAATATCTATTTTCTCTCCTCTTTCCAATAATTTATCCAAATTTTCCATCATTATTTCTTTTGTTTACTGAATGTTATCAGATACCATTCTTAATTTATCTGCTTATGGAGAATTATAATATTCAATTTTATTTTTTTATTCCTTTTATAGAATGAACATTTTCTTACTATTGAAAATGCATTATTTAACCCATATGATATAGCTGTATCTCTTTGTTATGGTTAAAACATTTAAAAAAATTTTTATTTCATTTCCTCTAAACAAGCAAATGCAATTCTCATCTTTAATCCTTTTTCTGCCATTATCAAAAATGAAAATCCATCCTCCACCAAAATATGAAACTCATATTATTCATAATTGAATGATTTTTTAGCATTTTATTAGTTAACCTTTTATTTATAATATTATCAATTTACTTTTGAAATAATAGTTTTAGCAAATGCAATATAGTTACCTTTAGCTATTGAATATTCTGATAAAACAACATTTGAATTTCTTACAACAACTGCATATATAATCTAGGGATTTGATGATTACATTATTAATTAATTAATATATATTAATGCATCAATATACAATTCTACATAATTAGGACAGAATCTATAAATAAATTATAATTTAAAAAAATAATATATTTTTTAATAAAACTTAAATAATTTTCACAACATTTTCTCTCTATCTAAAAAGGATTTTCCTTTAATACAAATCTTTTGATAATCTGTTGATTTACCAATAAACAATCTTACTAAAAGTGTAATATTAATTAATCTCATAAGCATACTCCCTAAAATAACTATTTTATATGATTTATAAGGATCCATCAATTTAGATAAAATCAAAAGAACTGGAAAGGATATAAAAAATAAAGTTCCATAAATCTTAAGCTAAAAATAAAAATTGGAAACAAGTTCGCTCTTCTTCTTTCTTTGACTTGCTGAATAATAAAAATATAGGGCTAACAAAAGATAAATAACACTAATAGAATATCCAACCCAACCGTCATACATATGGAATTAAGTCTAATTACTTAGAAATTTGCCTAAAACAGCAAAAATTGTTTAAATAATCCCTAGAATGAAAATCAAAGGGAAATAAAAATTTGTTTCAATCTAAAAATTCATAAATTCAATTGTCCATCCCCAAGCAATTAATATTAATAAAAGCATAAGTAAAAAGTTATCAATTGATTATATAATTTCTGAAGTAATAAGAAATGCACTTATTCCTCTACCATTACTATTATAGACTAAAAGATTAAAAAAATTAAGAGTATTCTATAATGCCTCTAATCCAATAATGATTAAGACAAAAAGTAGAGCATAGTCTTTTTCTCCATATTTATCCTATTCTTTTTTATAGACTCTATAATTATAATAAAATCCTATGAGAGTTAGTAATGCTAAAATAGATACAATGCTAAATAATCCATGCTCTTCTAAAGAGAATTCTTATCCTCCTACATCATATAACCAGATAGATATTTCCAAATAAATATTTCTTGTCTCTTAAGAAAACATCTTTTCAAGTTTATGATCACAATTATTGAAATTTGCTAACCAAACATTATGATATCTGCCATAAGTTAATTGTCCATTTAATATTGACATCTCTTAATAAGAATCAACCTCGATTGTTTAATATATAATTCTATTTGCAATATCTCTTCTACTGCACTCTGATTTAGATTAAGCAGATTCCCATTTATCTTATTAAAAAAATTCAAAAGCAATTGTTAATCTTTCACCTTCAAAATCTTATGGAACATTAAGGACTCGAGACCTAAATATTAAATGTCAAATTGATACGATATTTGATAATTTACAATTCCCCGACTACCAAATCTACTTAATGGAATGTAATCCATTTTTGCTAATTATTTTAATGAGAATGTTTATGTAATGATTTTACTTTAGACTAATGCTATGAATATGAATAAACTTCCAAACATTTAATAATTAAATGATTATTTTATTGCTTATTTAAACATGTTATAGTTCCACTCTAATTGACATATCAACCAAAAATAGTATTACTGACCTATTCATTGGTTGTTAAATAAAAGGAGAAAATTAAAACAATCTATTATTCCAGTGTTAAAAAATGAATGCCATAATTCCTAAATAAGAATTAGATTAAGAAATTGTTTTAGCATACTCTTTTAATAAAACAGAAGATATTTAATTAAGCAATATGCTTCTAAGTCAATTAATAATAGATACAGAAACTTAATTTTATGGTATACAATTTCTTAATTTACATAATTCAAACTATGGTGATTTTTTGTAGATGATCTAATTTTCTATAACTAATTCTTCATACTATAATTACTAAGCCACTGTTATCGATGGAACTTTAAATATGATTACTCTTATAAGTAATTATCAGATTTCTAAATTTAGAGAATTATGTAAATGAAACTAAAATCGTTCTTTATTTTATCCCAATCTATCCAGGTAGAGTCAAGTTTATTCCTTTGCCATCATAAAACTTTACTTGCGAAACCAATTGTGACATCAAAGGATTTTCATAATATTTTAATAAATAAAGAAATAGTTTAGTTATAGTTTTTTCTGAAGAGAATTCATTTAAAATAGTCGAATTTCCTTTTAAGGATTGGAACTTTAGAAATATATCAAATTATAACATCACTGAATTTTTAGATAACGAAATTATTCTTAAAACAAAATTATTTGAAGATTATTTACTAGTTGAATTAAAAACTTCTTAAGCATTATTTTCTATTTCTTCTATTATTTTTGAACTTAAACTCTTAAAAATTTTCTCTAAATAACCTTTATATATTGATCATAAAACAAATCTAATCTTTTAGAAATCTGAAAATTAAACTGTGGTTTATATTATATAAAATTAATAAAATTGGTTTGTTTAAAAACAAATTACACTATTGTCAATATTAGATGTTTAATTTACAGATTCTATCATAGTTGAAAATGAAAACTAATTTATTTTTATTTATGACAATTTTCAAAAAATAACTATATAAATAGACATAAATTAGAATATCAATACAGAAAGTGAATGTTTAAACAATTTTACAAAATTTCCATATCCAAATCCTAGTAGCTTAAATTATTAATTCAAACTTTTGTAAAAGACACTTGAACCAAATAAGATTCATAATGAACCTCTTTAAGAATTATAAAATTATACATCTTGCATAAAGCCTTGTGATCTTTTATATTTTAATTATGAGATCTCCTTAGTTCCTTATGATTAATAATGCATTATTTCTAATTTATAGTAGTGGTTAACTGATTACTGCAGTTTTTCAAATAGTTGTATGAAATGTAATAAGAATATTGGATGCTATTGGGAAAATGATACTTGTTAGAAAGAAACTGAAATGTATAAAATTGATTTATCATCAAATGAATAAAGTTCAAAATGGTATTATGGTAAGCTTTGGCAATGTGAAGAAATATTATAAAAAAATACTTAAACATTTAGTGATTATAATTAAACTGAATTCTAATAGAGTAAGGAATTCACTTATAAGGGTAAGATAAGGAAAGATTAAATTTATTCTTGGTTTTTTGACGCAGAAGAATTTTAATAATTCAATTTATATTTCAAAGCTGATTTAGTAAAAATTCCTTTTTAAAGTTAAATATCAATTTGTTTTGGTATGAATAAAAATGAAATTTGTACATAAATGAATTTTGATCTATGGGATTTAAATTAGTCTACAATATATCGTTTTAAAGGATACTTTTTTAGATATACAATAATATTTAATGAAGAAAATTTTGCTAATGAAATGACGTTTGTGTTTTAAAATTCTCCTCCAATATCAATAATTGATAGATTGAAATAATCACTATTTTAAATGTTGGTTTTTGTTTTATGTGGAATATTATTATTTTGTATAATGGGATATATGGCTAAAAGAAGACTATAATATTTGGTAGCTTAAACAATAGATAATGATTTAATTTAAGTAATGATATAAAGGTTATAATTTTAGATAGGACCTTATTTTTAAAATTAAGTTCCTTTGTCAGAGGAAAGATTAAAAAATGTAATGTAAAATTTAATAGATTAAGAGATTATAATAAAATATCCATCTGATCCTTGTTTATTATTATACGGAGAGGATTGTTGTGCTTTTTGTTTAGATTAATTTGATGTTTCACAATTCGTAACTCAATTATTTTGTGGACACGTTTATCATTATGATTGTTTTGAAGATTGGATTAAAATAATAGGATTATTAGATAAATGTCCAATATGTAATTAGAAAGTAGAGCACTTTCTATCTAATAAAGAAGATTATGCAATAATTAAGTCATAAATTTTGGACAGAATAAATGAGTCGGAGAAACATACAACTTAATTAATTGAATGACACTATTAATATTAATTAATTAAATTATCATGTAACGAAATAGCAATAACCCCATCTTTTTATCTCCAGATCAATTTGCTACTCTATTTAATTAAGGAATTAGAGAATCATTATATTTAGATGAAATGTAAGATTAAAGAGAACTCAGTTTCTCAGCTCCAAAAGTAGATGATATTAATTAATCAAACCAACTTAATTAGTCGAGTAATTTTTTACCTGAGTTTCCAAAAGATGATGTTGTTATTAGTATAATTTAATAAATTATTAGATTAGTATCTAGACAATTATATGAATAATCTCAAAATATTGAACAACATAATAAACAGTTGAGTGAATCATATTAAAGAATACTAAAATAAAATAAAGAATTATTAAATAAAAGAAAAGCATTAGAAGAAGAAAACCAATCTCTTCTAGAAGAGAATTTTGAACTCAAAAGATAAGCTCATGAACTTTAATCAAAATTAACACTTGCTCAAAGCTAAATGTTAATCAAAAGAGATCAAGAAATTTAAACATTAAAATAATAAATTAAAGAATTGTAAAACTAAACCAATTCTAGAGATTCAGCTACAAAAACTGAAGCAAGTACAGCAACTTCTCATAAAACTTATTTTGGATCAAATACTCATCGTGTACAATCAAATGAATAATCAAAAAATCCTTCTAGATTTACTTCTCCTGTTCCAAAACAAAAAACTTCTGAATTCTAAGTCTTATATAATTCGAATACTGTTTTCGGAAAATAATAATTATGAATTGCATCTAAATGTATATATTATTATCTGTTTGAAAATTATGATATCTATTCATTTTATATTACAGTCATCTATATTTCATGCTTTTTATTATTTCTTATTATCGATATCCTAAAATTAATCAATTTATATTTACTTACAAAAAATATGCAAAATTCTAATGTTCTAGTTACTTTTGGCTCTTAAAACTTATATTTTAAATTGACTGATGATCCTCAACATTTCATGAACGCAGTTTGTAAACAATTTAATATCAAACAATTTATTGCAGAGTAACAAATATATTTTATACCAGAGTAGAATTGAAGGTAAGGAGAGAATAAGCCTTGAATTTTTCAATCCTAATTTTATTAAAAAGAAAGATATGCTTAATATATAATAATTAGGATGCAAAAGCATTAAGATTATTGAATATAAGGATTAACCAAATTCTACCAATTAATACTAATTCTTCGATTCTTTTATTGATGGAAATGATGTTTAATGTTGCTATAAAAAAGATTGCTAATTATGTTAAGGATTCGGATCTGTAAAATTTTAAGAATAGGATTATTAATTTATAAATGAAGTAATAAGAAAGAAACTCAGTGATAGGTTACTTGAAATAAGAGAAAAGTAATATTTATAAAACCATTATAGAATTTTGAGAAGAGATAGGACTGAAATCAGTACTCCTGAAGATTTTTTAACTTATCATTAAGCAAAAAATAACAATTAGGAATTTATGGAAATATCAACTGAAACTATTAAATACAATTTTCATGTTGAGAACAGTGGTAAATGTTATTAATTTTTTAAGTTATTAATTATGATGACATGTTAAAAGTTAAAATAATTGAATAATTTGATATAGAGGGTGAATAAGGAAGTGAGGCAATTATGAAATTAAAATATATGAATGATGGAACATTGTTGAATTGGCCTGAAAAAGTCTAATTAGTATGTAATGAAGGTCCTTTTTAAATAAGATAAGATGTTAAATCAGCTTTAAAGGGATAAACAATTTGTACAGAAATTAAAATTCATATTCCTGATATTCCTCCCTAATAATATGAATTTTCATGCAAATTTGAATATTTAAATGAACATAACAAAAAGGTTTAATTTGGCCCAAATATCAAATTAAAATTGACTGTAAAAGAGAAAATAAAATAAAAAAAAATTACTGAATCCTAAAATTTTGATGATTATAATAGGAAATTAATTCCTTAAATAGATTAGTAATTACAATAAATGGGACAGGAAATGACTCCAAATATTCAACTATATATGAATGAGATATTTAAACGTTTTGCACATATAAAACTAGATGTAAATAGATTAATTGATGAGCTTTTCAAGGCAATGTATAATGATTGATCTTACATTTAATACAAAATTATTCATATATGTGATAAGCATTTGGTTTATATTAAATCTTTATATTTTTTAGTCCCAGGCAAATTTTCATCCATGACTAATCTGAAAAGATTATCATCTCTTAATTTAATTCCTTAATCTAATTTATCCTTATAAGCTTAGTTTATTTCTTCTAAATTTTTTGGCGTAATAATATAATCGAGAGGTCTTTTATCATATTTCATTTTAGCTAAGATTTTATAAATAATTTTTTTAAATCTTATATACTTACTTCTTAAATATGCATTTTGAATATCAATCATATCTTAAGTCATTTTTGTATGTTATTTTTCTCTAGCTAATGTAGTCTTTAATGTTTATGGATTATAATTGATTTCCATAATATGAATTTTTAAATCATCTGTTAAAATAAAATCAGCAGCAAAGAACTCTGCTAATCTACTATCTCTTGTTATTTATCCTTCAACGGATTTTATAGCATGTATAATCATTCTATCAACTGTAGGATAAAGATAATTTTAAAGCCATTTACGATCCTTAATCTTTCCTTATTTTAACAATAAATCTTATAAATAATCTAATTTCCAATCTATAAATAATTCAGATTCATCAGCATTTTCATCATCTAAGTCTAAATCTGATCTTCGTTATTTAAGAGTACTTTTCACTATGGCTGTATTACATACATGAGCTTCTTTATTCAAAGAGAATTTATCAAAAGGAACTATGCATCTTCTTATTAAAGTTTTATCATAAGCATAAGCAATAATTGGATTAGTTGAAGCCAACACCCAATATATTCTAAATTCAATCTTATGATTTTTATATAACATAGGATTTCCTATGTATTATTGTGCAACTAATAAAGAATGATCTGCTCCACATCTCTTACCATTTTTATAAGTTTCCTATAATTTCTTAGTTTCATCAGGAAATAATACTTTTATACCTCTACCTCTATGAACTTCTAAACCCACCTTGGTTATAAATTAGGGTCCTTCTTAAGCTATTTTATCTTAATATTCATTTGAATTTAAATATTCAAAAAATTCTTTACAATCTTACTTCTAAAATAGACGATAGGTTTTGGGAATGAAGGTTGCATTATTAATACATTCTTAATCAATTCCTTTATCTCTTAAAGAATCTATGTATTTATATTAATTATTCATAAGGTTGTCTTTATGAGAAAGAACGTGTCGTGATGGTAAATGGTTGTATTTTTAGAACAAGCAAAGAGATGCTAAAAGCTTATCTAATAATCAATACCTTATCCTACTTTGAATTTATGTATTAATTAATCATAATATGTGAATGGTAAAGTTAATTGTTCTGGTAACACATGCTTTGACAAAGCTAGCAATATTTTATAAATTGTGATTACTTTGAGAATTCCCTAATTTAAGATACATTTGAGGAATGCAATCATAGTAAGATGATCTCAAAGCATTTTTGATCACTCCTTTAGCTTCTCTAAAAGTATATGTGTCTGTCATTATTACATCAGGATGGTAAAATTTGTATAAATCTGACCTTTTGCAATAATCAAATTCTGGTTGCACTAAAATTGAATTATACTATCATCTTAATCATATATTTATACTGCTGAATGATTGTTTGGAGGATCATAATAATGTGTTGTTAAGTATTTGTTCAAGTATGTTAATATTTGATCGACTTCTTATTTATTTTTATAAACAAGCGAAATCCTAATAAAATTGTAAATGAGAATAAGACTTAATATTGACATGATTAAGACAATCACCTTACCAAACATTTAATTATAATTATATTCGTTTTTAATCAATAAATTATTTTTCTTTATATTCCGTTTTTGTTACAAATTTGTAACACCTAATTATCAATACATCATTTTTTCCTATTAATTAAATTACAATAACAACTATTTTTATTTTACAAATGATTTTTTACTTTTAAAATTATTTTTTAAATTGATACTTATTTTTTTCAGTACATCAACTTTTTATAATTTCAATTTATAAATAAACAATTAATATAATATCACAAGTAATATAATTAAAATTCTTATGTAGTAATAATTAAGAAAAGAATTTTAAGTATCTTTCAAATATATTAATTTACTATCTTTAAAAATATCAAATAATGACCTTTACTTTTTTATAATGATAAGATTAATCATATTTACGTTTTTAATTAATATTGAATATAATTATTAAAAAAGAAATTAAATAAAAAATGCTGGTTAAAATTTTAATATAAAAGTTCTAATAATTCAATCTATTGGATTTAAAATTAAAAAAACATAATTTGACTTTGAGATGATATAAGTCATTGATATAAAGATAAATAATTAGTTTTATAAAATAATTCTCTTTAAATTTTATCTTGTGTTGCAAAAACATGTAATAGTTTTTCCTCAATATCGTGAATATTGATTATATCTATAAGTTATATAATTTCTTATGAGAAATGTGAGATTGTTTCAGAATTTAACTTTTTTTGTTTTTTTGAGCATAAGAATTTCGGTTAAGAATAGGATATTTACTTAGGTAATTCATTAATGATTGGTCTTATTGGGACAGTTTTTTATTTTGCTTTTTATACCTAATTGGTTTTTTTTGTTTAATAACTTCTCTCTCTATTGAATAAGGCTTCTTCAATTCTGAGTTATTCTAATAATCCTCTTCTTTTAATCTCAATAATATTTTATGATTTTTTGGAGCGAGCCTTTTCAAGACTCTCCTCTAACCTTTTTAATCTCTATAAATCCTATTGCTTTTTCTCCTCTAAACATTTTTAATATCTAGCCAATGTTTCATCTACTCTAGTACTTCTAGGGATTTAATATTAAGCTTATTTTAAGAGTTCCCATTTTTATATCTTAGCATCGTAACTCATTTTTTTTTTTATATGCTTATCTGTTGTTAGTTTTTATAAAATATCCCTATTTTTTTAAACTTATTCTATTCTCGAAGTCTATAAGACTTCTTTTTAATATTCACGCGATTCCCTTTCACTACTAATTTGTTTTCTTCTTGTTTCTATTAATTATTCTTTCTATGAATATTAAATCAATTATTATTCTCGAAAATCTTGTTAAAATTTCTTTTATTTCATTAATTTATCATTTATTTTGGAAAAAGAGTTCTCTTCATATGTTTCTTCAGGCGGTAATGATTTTGGATGACTTTGAATTTCTTCTGATTTTTTATTTAGCAACTCATGATATTCCATAAGTAATCTTTACCTTCTTTTTTCGTATTATTTGATAATGGTTTCCTAATAAAATTGAGAATCTTTTTCGTATTCTGGTGGAATTTTAATTTTTTTCAGAGGTATTAAATCTTACTCTGTAATTCCCATTTTTTTTAATATTTTTTAATTCATTAATAATAATGTAACATAAAATTAACACTTTTATCTTTTACTTTTTCAATTTTTTTTTATTCCATCGTTTTTAGAAATCTATTTTCCCAAATCAATTCATGACTTTTTTAACACTTTTATTGATGAATTAGTAATTAGTAATAAGAATTATTCTAACAATAAATTATCTATTATTTTTGAATTTCATCATAATTATGAGAAAGTTAATTTATAATAATTAATAAAGTTTAAATGATGAAAGAAAAAATTTCAAAATTAAAAATAGGTAATAATACTTTATAAATTAAGAGATTTCATTAATTGATAGTCTGATTGAGAGTTGTTTACCATCAATTTAAACATAAGAATTTGAAAGATAAACGAGTAAATTTTTTCTACCTTAATCAAGTTTATTTAGTTTATCTAAAAAATCTTAAATTCTACCCAAATGTAAAATACTAGAAACACTTCAATTATTAATAATAGACCATCATTCATTTTTTATTCTCTAAAATCTGCTTCTTATTCCCATAATCCAGTGAATTCTCCTCTCCAAAAATTCATTATCAAATAACAGCATTTTCATCTTAATCAGCTATAACTAATTTTTCTTCCATTTCCTAAACCACTGTTCTCTTTTTTAATTAAACCATTCAAACCCATATGATTATAAGTTAATTTTTTGGCTAATCTACTTTTAAACCATTACAGCGACTTAGATTTTGAAAATCATAATCAAATTCAGCATCTAATCCAATATTAAAATAATTAAATATTTTATAATTTTTACTCTCTATTTTCACATTTCATCTGTAAAAAATGGAATATTCTCATTATTCATTACTTTGACACTACATAAAGACAACTTTTGCCTTCTATATCAAAAAAATATCTACAATTTAATTTATAATTAAAAAATATTGAATATACAGGTAGATTCTAACTCAATCATCAAAGAGTGTTTTTATAATCTAATGATTTTATGATTTTGCATTATATTTGATTTTTTAATTTTAAGATAAAAGTGATAGTAAAAATATAAATCATTTAATAAATATTAAGTCATACTAATTGTTTATAATCCATAGAATTTTTATTAATATAGATGGCAATTTTTTTTGATTGAAATTATTATAATACGTAAAACTACATCATTAATTAACACAATATCACTTAATAAATAAAGAATAGACTTTTTTAAAATCAATTATTTTAATGGGAAAAAAAACTGTGTTAATTCTAACTTTTGTTAGTTATGCTTAAATGCATGCAGCCAGAACTCTGTGGTCATATATGCAAAAATATTTAACTATTGAAAATTACGACAAAAATAAAATGGGTTAAGCATATTTGACATTCTTATTAACCTATGGTATTGGTATGAATACTGTTGGCCCAATGTGTTGTAAACGTAGTTTAAAACATTCAATTGGAATTAGCTGTATGGCAGTAGGTATGTTATTTGCAATTCTTGGAATATTGTAGGAGTTTTAACTCTTAACATTGTAAGATAAATTTTTTAATATTTAGTCCATTAGTCATAGTATTGATGGCTATTAATGGTTTAATTTAATCTGCTTGTTATCCTGCTTGTGTAAATGTATTAGGAAATTGGTTTAAAAATCATAAGGTAGGTTTAATGATGGGATTATGGTCAGGTTGTGTAAATGCTGGCGATATTTATGGATTAATAATTGGTGATGTTGTCATTTAAAGATTTGAAAAGCCTGTTTATTGGGGTTTTTACTTTATGTCAGGTTGTTTAATTCTAGCAAGCATCACTACCTTATCTTACTTATAGAGTGAACCTAGAAATCAAATTTAAGGAATTAATGAATCAGAATCTGCTCCATTAATATTAAAACAGAAGAATAAAAATTTAAATATTTTATCTGCTTGGTTAGTTCCAGGAGTTGCTATTTATGCAGTTGGTTATGCTTGTCTAAAAGGAACTTTCTATGGATTTTTAGATTGGCTTCCATTTTATTTTTAGTAAAAGGGAGAGAAACTTGAAAATCATTCTTCTTACATTTCTTAAATGTTTGATGTTGGTTGTTATGTTGGAGGCATCTTTTTAGGTTATTTAGGAGATAAATACAAAAGACGTGCTTGTTATTTTGTACCAAGTTTATTATTGGCTATGAGTTCTATGTTAGTAATAAGATTTTGTTTGGATTTAATTGTCTGGCCTTATTATCTTTGTATTTTGGCTATAGGTATCTTTTAAGGAGGTCCATATAATAATATTTCAGGAGTCATCTCTATTGAATTAACTAAATAGTTTGAAAATGATAAGGCAGCTATATCAACAGTATCATCTTTAATTGAAAGTACAGGAACTCTTACAGCTGCTATGTTTTAGGTGATTATTCCAAGAATTGGAGATGAACATTTATTTATATTCTTATGTCTCATTACACTATTAGCAGAATTAGTTTGTTGTGTTCTCTTATTTAGAGAACTTAAAACTAAGAAAAGATCTAAATGATATGATGATGATGTATTATAATTTAAATTTATACAATATATCATTATTCCTATTATGCTGCAAGAGCTGCTTCTTTTGCTCTCTCTTCTTCTTCTTATAGTCTCTTTTACTCTACTTCTCTGTCATATTTATCTTTTGCAAATGAAAATGCTTTTTCTTTTAGCTACTTTGTCACAAAGATATTATTTATTTTCTCTAATCTAACCATTTGGTTAATTGTATCTAATAAATAATTCGGACTTTTTGATTCAAATGGATTTCCTTTATATAGAAGCCTTTTTAAATTGGGCAATGTTTGCAATTTGCTTATTTCATCAAATTTATCTATTTTGTTTTCCCTAATATCAAAATGAACAATATTTTCCAAAACTGGAAATGTTTCATCAAATCCTTCAATCTAAATTAGACTTAAATTCATACTAAGTTTTTTCTTAATTGTAAAATTTAAATAGAAGTCAATAATTCTATTCCTTGAATAGCCTTGATTTTATTTTCACTTAATTTAAGTTCTTTTAATTCAGGTAAATTTTAAAATTAAGTTAAGGCAGCAATTTTGTTTCTTTTCAAGAAAAATTACCTTAATTTAGGATTACCATCAAAAGTATCCATTTTTTCAATCTTATTATCATTAAGATTAAGTTATATTAATGGAACTTTGATAGGACCTAATTCAACTAGTTTATTTGAAGCAGCATTAAGATACTTAAGAGATTTGAAAGCTTCTTCATTAGCAAGAGATTTCAATTCCTTAATATTGTTACCTTCAACATTCAATTTAATCAAGAACGGCAGTTATGAAACTAGATAGTAAAAAGAATACGTTGCACAATTTCAGTAATATTATTGCCACTTAGATCTATTGATTCAATATATTTATAATTTCCAAAGGTTTGAGTCAAAACATCTACATTTTTTTGATTTAAATTCAAGATAGTGAAATGATATCCACTATTATCTTAAACCATTTTAAATCCTGATAGATTATTCATAATGAGTTCTTCGAAATTGATTTTAGATTTAGATTCTTCCTGTTGTTTTGGTTATTTCTTAGCTTCCTTTTTAGACATGTTCAATAAATATTAATATATATTATTATGCTTAATAAATCAAAACAATCTCTATTTAGCTTCATCTCCATCTCCTACTAATCCTTTTTATTATGCAAATTGATAATGTAAATCAACTACATCAAGTCCATCATGTACTTTAGTCCATCCATTCTAATGAATATGATAAACTTAAATAAATATTATTAATTCTTACCTCTAACTACACCACCAGAAGCAGTGTCTCTATGTGTTGCATGATAGATTGCTCTAATGCCTAATTCTACTGCTTCATTAACAGACATATCATATTTATAATGATTATCCAAAACACCATAAGCATAAGTACTACCACTACCAACAGAGAATATATCTCCTTTCAATCTCATACCATCATTATCTATATAATATAAATGTTATCCAGATAGATCAGTTCCTGCAATCATACAACCCATTGATAAACCAGAATTTTTATAACCAATTAGAATTCCTTAAAGGAATTTAGAAGCTGCTGCAACACTTAATTTACTACCATTTTTTAATTCATATGTTCTACAATGATTAGCTAAATAAGCTAACCAATATTAACAATCTGCTGCACCTCCTGCCATTGTACCTATATTATTTCAAAAATATTCATACCTAATAAATATTCATTTATTTCAATCACTTTTCGGACTTATTCACTACTCAAAAAACTACCCATACTAGCTCTTGAATCTACTGCTATTAAAATGCCTTCTTTAAATACAAATCCTAATGTTGTTGTTCCATGTTTGAAATTATTTAATTTATTTCCTCCATTTGTTTATGTAGGACCATTTAAACTTTTATATATTACTTAAGGTGCACTAGGCATTCTTAAAGTATTGATTTCATCTTTATCCTCTTTTTAATAAGTGTGAGCTAATCCAAATGTTGAAGGATCGAAATCAATCATTTTAATATTTTAATTAAATAATCATCCTTATCTCAAGAAATATTATTAAATACTCTTTAATGCTCTTTGTTACAAATTGTGTTAAATTGAGATTTAAATTACACATATATTTTAAATATATATAGTATATATTATGAAAAACAATCATCATCGAAGAACAAAATCAACTGGCAATTACTTTTCTAATTAATGTGAATTTCTTGTTAAAGATGATTATGATGATTATGATGATACGAATGAAACAAGTGCAATTATTAAAAAAATATAACAATAACCTATTCTGCATCATTAGATAGTTGAAAAACTTGACGATTAAAATTATGGATTGTTCAATACTATGTTTAATTTTGGTTAAATGAAGTATAAACCAAAACATTCCATAGACTTAAGCACAATTACAGAGTGCAGTTGTAATGAATTCATAATATTAATAGCTACACCTTCAGCTAAAGATGCTTAACCTAAACACAGGAAATGTGGTAGCCAATAATAATAAGTGAAATAATAACCGATAAGTCATAATCATAGTCAAAGTCTTCAAATTCAACTGCTTGAATAAGAATTGTAATAAATGAAGGCTTAATAAGCTCAAATATAAAATGTGAATATGATGCTCATTATTGAAATTCATAAATCGAGATAAGAGCTCTAAATATCTTAATAAGTACAATCTCACTTTCATATTAGAAAAATGAACTTATACTTTAAAGAATAAGAAAACTAGAAAAGATGTTAAGAGATGATTAAAAATTATCCTGTACAACTAACGACAGTCTTGAATTTTTCTGAAAAAAGTACTCATTTTTTATTAAACATTTATATAACAATCATATTTTGATTTATTATGACTAAATTAATCAACTTTTATTTAGTCTATTCTTAATAACTTATTATAAGAAGAAAAACTGTAAATTAAAATACAATTAAATTATTTTTTCTATCATAATGACATATCTACAAAATTTCATTAGGATTGATATTAATAGGTACATTCATAATAAGATTTCTCTTTTTATTTTGAGTAATCATTTTAACCAGATGGTATATTGGGAGTTTTGGAACTTTCTGTTACACCGAAAATACTCAAAGTTTCTGACTGAAGTATTCCATGAAAATCACTTATTTGCACATTGTCAATCTAGTTCTTAATCTCTATAATTTCCTAAACTTATTTTTATATTATACATTAAATTCATAATTTCTATTATAGATCTTATCCCATAAAAATTCATCATTATTTTAGTAATGTAATATTAATTGGTCCTTAAGATTATTCAAATCAAATTTCTGTTGTTCAATTAAAAGTTGGATCTATTCATTTAATTTTATAACACTATCAATACCTTAATTGTAAAATAATATTCCATCAACACAACCAATACTTTTAAAACTCACTTAAACTGTTGATTATGATTCAAAATGTAATTATAATAATAGTAATGCAGCTAATGATAAATAATCTCTTTTTCCAACAGAAAAGTATTTTAGTACAGCATTTTGTTTTTATTTAGCTGGCAATTTAATTATATGTATTAAGTTTTTATCTATTTACAATGTTTTAGTAATTGTTTCTATATCATTAGGATGATATTCTTAAACTAATTATTTTGCATTTTATATGTCAATGTTTCCACTAATAAATGCAGTATACTTAATATCTGAAAACATATCAGTTAAAAATTGTGAGAATTCATTAAATTTTAAATCTTAAAACTCTTTAATAATATCTGCAGGATCATTTACAGGTCTCAACATTAATTTTGGTAGCCAATATTAAACTAAGTAAAATTGAGTTTTTTAGAAATAGTATTCTTAGAATTGATTTTTTAAATCCTCTTTAATACTTTTAAATTTAGATTCATCTTTAATTTCTTTAATATTTGATAAAACCTAATTTTTCACAGTTTCAAATGTTAAACTCCAACCTGATAACATAAAGGAAAGTCCTTTTAGACTACTTTCTACTTAAAAGTTAAAACCAGCTGAAACTGCATCCAAATTTGATTATTCAATGTACATTTAAGCAACTTTTAATATTGCTTTAGATTTAGCTATGCTATAACCATTAATTGGTTTATAGAATAAGATTCCAAGAAATACTCTGTTAGTCTAATTATCATATTACCACCATAATTCTTAAGATATTTATAATGGAGTTAAAATTGGTATTGCATAATTTTTTTAAGTTTGATTTAAATCTAATTGGACATATGGAGTCAAAGGTTTATATACAGGATCTATATCATTAGGAGAATCATTCTTAATTTATGGTTCTGATAAAGTAATATTTGGAGGAATAATTTGATTGGTAGTATAATAGTTATAATTTGGTTATTCAATCGGAATGTATGAGGAAAGATTTGGTAATTTTAATTATGAAATCAATTACTCATCTAAATTTGAAACACTTGTATAATCTAACAATATATTAGAATATTCAATTGAATCTACTTTTTTATTAACAAAATTGGAGTTTAAGAAGTCCTCTTTGTTTAGTGTCTTTAGTTCTTAATAAATAAATTATCCTTATTCAATAATAATGACTCCTGATTAAATATTATCAATTATTGCATTGAGATCTTTCTTAGAAAATTCTTTATCTTCAACATATTTTTGATAGAGAATTTATAGATTATAAAAGTCTTTATGACAATTTAATAATGTTTTTTCATTCTACCTTTTTAAAAATGATGCAAAATTATAAATTGCATTAGCTAATGTGATGCTATTAGTATTACATTCCTAAATATTAATTGCCAAGAAATCAAAATCTAGAATTTCAAATTAACATTAAAGAATAGTTTGTAAGGAATTTTATGTTTTTTACAACAATAAATGCTTAAAAAATTCATCTTATTTTGCTGTATAAATTAAAATGGTAGATGTTTGATTGGAATTGATTCTTATTTGATTGTATAGAATAGGCTCTAGATCCCAAGACTCAATAATAGATGTTCCAAATTCTTTTTCTAATAAATCAGTATCTGAAACTATCATATAAATTTCTTGATTTGAAAGGGCAGATTCAATTGTCAATCTTATTGGATTAGAGACCAATATTAATTCAATATAATTTTATAAATCTTAAATCTGCATAGGTTCAGTTATGATTTCATTATTTAATGAGATTGCATCTAAGACTCTATCAATTTTAGAAATGAGATCAAAATCTTAAGTTTATATATTTTGATTGGTAATATTATCCAGATCTTCTTAGGTGTATTCTCTAACAAGTGAATCTGCAAAGTTTTTAATGCAAGTTTCCATTAATTCGTTTTTAAAGTGAACGATTATTGTACTCATATATGCTCTTTAAATTAATTGTGCTTAAGAACACTATTATTTTAATAGCAAATTCATAAATAATGTATTATATTCATCATCATGATAACCATGATAGATTACAAATTATAAAGTAGCAATTTAGACTTACTTTTCTTAAACAATCAAAGTTAAACCATTTTTAAATTGCCAACCTTATAATTATCCTTCATTCCATGGTTCAGCTTCAAATATTAATTCTTCAAATTATTCTTCTTCTGGTTCTGGAATTATGTTATCAAATTAAGTGACATCTTCAGGACTAGTTAAAAATTGCATAATGTCTTAATCTTCTTTATCTAGAACGACAGTACTATCAATATCATCAATATTTTCAATTTCATTTACATTCAATTTATCAATCTAAGGTATGGAAGATTATTTATGATTTGCTAGAGCATACTTAAATACAAGGAAGACTAATAAAATAAGAATAATAAGTTAGATAATGTAACAAAGTGTGGATAGGATGCCACGTGTTTCAGGATCTTTAGGTGTTTTTATACTTTGCTGTACTAATCCTTAATTTTCTTCATCCATTTGCATTAATTAAATGTTTAATCCATTTCGATATATTGCTGATTTTCTACACTTGTTATCATTTCTGGTACTTATTTTAAAAATCCGTAAAACAAGGAATTGCTTAGGTAGCACTTAGATAAATATAATAGGATTATCATACAGAACTTAAGAAATCTATCTTGCAGTGTTCTGTGTCAGATACATTGATCTATTCATGTATTTTGTATCGGTATACAATACCTCAATGAAATTACTTTACATTAGTAGCACTGTTTTCATAATATACCTAATGAAATTCAAGAAACCATATTGTCTAGTATTTCTAATAGCTAATTAATATAGTCATATGATTCAGCAAGTGATGATTTTCCACATTATAAATTCATATACACAGGAGCAGCTGTCTTAGCTTTACTTGTCCATACTGATTTGGCACCATTTGAATTAGGATGGTCATATAGTATTTGGTTAGAAGCATTAGCAATTATTCCGTAATTACATATGTTACAAAAGATTAAAGATGTTAATATCAATTATTATATTTAGGTTGAAAATATTACATCCAATTACGTAGGAGCTTTAGGAGTTTATCGTTTCTTCTACATAGTTAGTTGGATTTACAAATATTCACTCACTGGAGATGTTTGTTGGACATCACTTTTAGGAGGGATTGTTTAAACTATCTTATATGCAGATTTCCTTTACTATTACCTCATTAGTCTAAAATCAGGAAAAGGTATGTCTCTAGGAGTTTGAGATTTGTGATTATTAAAATATTGAAAGCAGTTTAAATTAATACCATTTAACTATACTCTCTTTAGACTATGTCTCTTCTTTTATCATACAATTATTTATGCTTACGTGGCAATCTGGAATTATAATATAATTAAAATCTAGAATTTATTAAATTAATTAAATAATCTACAAATACATTTCTTCTCAAATTCAAAATGCTCTACCATTCTCTAAATTAAATAACAAACTTTTTTTTATAAATTATTCTATTTTCTCTTTTTTTATTCTCCTTTTCTATACAAACCCTTCGTCCTTTTTTTAAATCCTATATTATTTCTGAATTTTACTTAAAGCACTCAACATATACTCATCTAACGATATTTCTATAACCTCATTTAATGAGTACTTTTCTTTTACTACATTCCCTAAATTAATCTTCTCCTTATTTATTTACATCCATAAACTAATCATTTAAAAATTTTAATTTTGCTCAATTGTTTTTCAGTTCCACTAAATAACTATCATATCAGCTTTATTACTTCTATTATTACATCTCTTTTTTTATATATTTTCCATTTATAATGAGAAATCCTTTAATTATTCATTTTCTTATCACAACTCCTTATCAATTTACTTATATTTTTTCATCTGATTTACACCTAACCTCTTTAATTTGAAACTCTCTTCACTTTAATAACACTGTCTTATTTTAAAGATTTTTTCTTATGGGTAAACTTTTTTAAATACTCTATTTCTAGGTTAAATTCTAAGTAATTGAAGATACTGGGACTTTTCTGTATTATTTGGCTTACTTTATAAAGTTAAATTGTATCTCTTTTAAACTTGTACATCATTTATCATATTTATTATTATTATATTTATGCTTTTCAGAAAGTCTTTACAATATTTCAGTCATTAAGTGGCTCGATCTAAATTGGGTTAACTCTAATATCAAGGGATTATGATGAAAGTACCTAATGAATAGCAAAAAGAAGAAAATTCAGAAGAAGACAGATTAGTAAAAGCATTTTTCACAAAAAATCATGATTAAATTAAAGTATATGGTCATTCTGAGAAATAACTAAATGAAAAGAGTAGTTCACCTAAAAACTCTTGGTATAAGGTGGTTTTACCATTTAAAAGTAATCCAGAACTTAGTTTTAAGTTTAAAAGATTTTATACAAACCAAGTAAGAATAGGTCGCTTATTGGAATTGATGGATTATATAGCATCTACAGTTTCCTATAATTATATTTAACCAAACAGAGGTGCAACAATGGTAACTGCGATGGTAGATAATATAAATTTTTTTGAAAAGATATCCGCTGATTAAGATCTTGAAATATAAGGATATGTAACTTATGTTGGTAATTCATCTATTGAAGTGTATATTGATGTAATGTAAGAAGGAGTAGTAAATGTTTCAGCAAATTTTCTAATGGTAGCAAGAGATGGCAAAGATCATTCAAAAGCCTATAAAGTACCTATATTGAATTTAGATGGAGAAATAGATAAGGAAACTGCAGAGCTTAGAAGTTATATAGGAAAACATATGCAAGAAAAAAGAAAATTATAAAAAGATAGAGGCCTTGATAGAAAAGCACCAAGTCAAGAGGAAATAAATGAATTACATAAGTTTTTTATGAATCCTCCATCTGATATCACGATAAATGAAACATAAATTGAAAAAACACTTTTAATGCATATTTAAGATAAAAACCTTCATGGCAAAGTATTTGGAGGTTTTGTTATGAGAGAAGCTTTTGAACTTGGTTGGTTAAATGCTTATCTTCATGTCAAAGGATAAGCATTTCCTTAAATTATTCATATTGATGACATACAATTTCTTGCACCTGTTGATATTGGTAGTGCCTTATAAGTTTAAAGCAGAATTACAGCTGTTAAAGATACCATTATGCACGTTGAAGTTAATTGTTATAAAATAAGTCCAAACTAATAAAAAACAAGAACCAATGATCTTCATTTAACTTTAAATGTTCCAGGTATCTTGATACCTCCAGTTTAACCTAAAACATATAATGAAGGTATGCAATGGTTAAATGCTTGTCGTCGTATGCAATATACTATTTGAAGGAATATCATTTTGCCTTTTATTTTTCTTATAAAATCATTATTATCAAACAATTATCTATTATTTAACTAAAAAGATTTCAAAAAACTAAAATAAAAAGGAACACAAATATATATTTAATTTCAATATTTTTCAACCTTTGGCTATTATTTTTTACTTGTTGGCTATTAAACTTGCATTGCCATCATTTCTTGCATTTCTTACATTTATTATTATTATTGTTATTGCATTCTTCTCATTTCTTCTCTCATTTACATTTTAAGCATTCCTACTTCTGCCAATTAAATAAAACCTAAGATTATGCCTCCAAATATAGCATTTCTAAGTGCAATTCTAGTACCAGCTATCATTATTATTTAAGGATAATACCTCTAATTGCTAAAAATCCACCTGTAAATGCTCCAGCTATTATGGGATTAAAATAATCTTATTTGTTTCTCAGATGCATAAGAGTACAATCTGTGATACTAAATAATCCTCCCCAAAGAGCAAAAGATCCTCCCAAAATTGGAGCTCTTCTTTTTAATAATTAGATTCCTCCAAAAAATCTCTCTTTCTTTGGAGCAAATGACATGCCTTTTAAGAAATAGAATATGCATCCAGCAAAGCATCCCATCGAGAAAGCTCCTCCAAAATCATCAATGATTCTGTAAGGACACGGTTATTCACGCATAGCCATCTTAATTCTGGTTAAAATTTATTAATTAAATGATATTCATTAATTAAAATTATTAAGTAATAGGAATAATAGAAGGGGATCATCTTTTATGAGCTAAAGTTCTTATTCTACATTCGGTACGTATCCTACTGTTTGATCTCAAAACAGGATTATTTGGTTCACTCTTTTTCTTTTAGTGGCTAATTATTTATTTATGTTTCCTATGATTATTTCGATTTCTAAAATATTCCCAATATTTATCATAATTTTAATCTTAACCTATATCATATTTTTAAGAAAAATCTGGCAAATTTTATAATGGTAATATTTTTTTAAATTTATAGTAATGAAGCTTTATCTTATTTACTAACTTCTGTGTTTCTAATGCTAATTCTTCTTCAGAAATATACTCTCTTTTATTTGGATAAGTCTCAAATCTTATTTTATAAAGCATTTGTAATTAATCAGTCGGAGACAATTTATCATAATCACCTAAATGAATTCCTTTCAATAATATCTCATCATTATCGAATACATCATGTTCAGACCCTGATGAATCTGAATCTGAATTTATTTATGTTGGAAAAATCTCTTATTCTTTTGGTTTCTTAAATAAATTATTCATAAACTCTGAACCAATAAATTTTATAGGTTTCAATCTAATATTCTATAATCTTGGCGAAGTTTTCTCTGAATCTAAAGTTGAGGTAGATGATTTTCTGGAATTCATAAATAAATTTTATTTCTCAAATATTTATTATAATTATAATTAACTTATTAAAATCTTTTTTCTTCTTCAAAACTCAAATCACTCCTTATAAAAGTCTTTTTTTAATTTGATAAGATGATCCACAACTATTATTGAAATTATTTTTTTAATTGCCTCAGAAACGATTAAATTTTAAATGTTTTTATTAATTCCTCTTTATTTTTTCTTAGGATAAACCTTACCGACAATACTTTTCCACGGATTAGGCGATAGTTGCTAGTATTCTTCTCTAAAACCTTTTTTTTCTGGAATTAACGCTAATTGTATAGAAATAGGTTCTGGACCATCATCATCCATCTTATTAGGATTTTTAGATTAAGCTAAAGATGCCTGTAAAAAAGTTTAGGAAAAATATACAGGTTAAACAATAAATGTTGTTGGCTTATCATAAGGTGCCTTAATTGGCAGATATATTATTACAGATTGTGATTTAAATGGTGGGAGAGTGTCTAAGTATTTATCTATAGGTGGACCTTAAATGGGAGTTTCAGTAATTCCTCATTGCGATAGTTATTTGTGTTGGCCATTAAATAAAGTTGTTGATTCATTAGTTTACACTGATTATGTTTAATAACATATAGGGCCAGCTGGATATTTTAGGAACTACGAAGACTTAGACTCTTATCTAAAATATAATCATTTTCTTCCTGATTTGAATAATGAACGAAATCCACAAATTTCAAGAAAATAAAAGGTAGAAAAATTTATAATATTTTTAGTTTTCTTCCCTTGATTAAGTTATGCTTGTGAAATTTTTATAAGATGAAATGGTTATTCCTAAAGAAACTGCATTTTTTGAGTCTGTGGATCCTAAAACAGGCTAGGTTATTTCTCTAGTAGACTCAGAATTTTACATTTAGGATCTAATTGGTATAAAGCAATTAGATTAGTAAAGAAAAATCAAATTTATTGAAATTGATGATTCTCATTTAAAATGGTCAGATGAAATTACTTAAACTGTATTTATTCCATTTCTAGTTTGATTAATGTATACTTTTTTAATATATTAATAAACCTTTTATTATAAATTTGAGTTATTCTTTTAAATATTTAATCCATTAAATTTATTTATACTTTTTTGAAGAAATTATCCAAATTAAAATCTATTAATCATAAGTAAGTTGTTTATTAAATTTATTAATAACATTCTGGCCATTTAATAAATGAATATTTGGAGTAAACTATTCATTTGATATCATAATTAAAAAGATAACAAAAATTCTCATACATCTTTAATAGTATTTTATCCTAAAAAAAAATTAATTGATTTAATTCATTTTTTTTTTGAAATTTGNATTTTTTCTTAGGATAAACCTTACCGACAATACTTTTCCACGGATTAGGCGATAGTTGCTAGTATTCTTCTCTAAAACCTTTTTTTTCTGGAATTAACGCTAATTGTATAGAAATAGGTTCTGGACCATCATCATCCATCTTATTAGGATTTTTAGATTAAGCTAAAGATGCCTGTAAAAAAGTTTAGGAAAAATATACAGGTTAAACAATAAATGTTGTTGGCTTATCATAAGGTGCCTTAATTGGCAGATATATTATTACAGATTGTGATTTAAATGGTGGGAGAGTGTCTAAGTATTTATCTATAGGTGGACCTTAAATGGGAGTTTCAGTAATTCCTCATTGCGATAGTTATTTGTGTTGGCCATTAAATAAAGTTGTTGATTCATTAGTTTACACTGATTATGTTTAATAACATATAGGGCCAGCTGGATATTTTAGGAACTACGAAGACTTAGACTCTTATCTAAAATATAATCATTTTCTTCCTGATTTGAATAATGAACGAAATCCACAAATTTCAAGAAAATAAAAGGTAGAAAAATTTATAATATTTTTAGTTTTCTTCCCTTGATTAAGTTATGCTTGTGAAATTTTTATAAGATGAAATGGTTATTCCTAAAGAAACTGCATTTTTTGAGTCTGTGGATCCTAAAACAGGCTAGGTTATTTCTCTAGTAGACTCAGAATTTTACATTTAGGATCTAATTGGTATAAAGCAATTAGATTAGTAAAGAAAAATCAAATTTATTGAAATTGATGATTCTCATTTAAAATGGTCAGATGAAATTACTTAAACTGTATTTATTCCATTTCTAGTTTGATTAATGTATACTTTTTTAATATATTAATAAACCTTTTATTATAAATTTGAGTTATTCTTTTAAATATTTAATCCATTAAATTTATTTATACTTTTTTGAAGAAATTATCCAAATTAAAATCTATTAATCATAAGTAAGTTGTTTATTAAATTTATTAATAACATTCTGGCCATTTAATAAATGAATATTTGGAGTAAACTATTCATTTGATATCATAATTAAAAAGATAACAAAAATTCTCATACATCTTTAATAGTATTTTATCCTAAAAAAAAATTAATTGATTTAATTCATTTTTTTTTTGAAATTTGGTTTCTCAATATATTATATTATGCTAGGTAAAAAGGATTAAAATATTTTATTTATATATAATTTATAATGAAATAAATTTAATAAAAAATATAAAATAATTCTCCATTATTTTAAATTACATTATGAAGATAATAAGATTAAAAATGATAATGAATGAAAATTAATTAAAAAGTAAACATTTTGAGTATTTGATATTAATTAATATTTCAATATTAGTTACCCTAAATTTATTAAGCATATTTAAAAAATTCGTGATTCATAAATTCAGTAGCAGTAATTCTATTGTATTCTTCTGCTAGTCCTCCCTCTACTAAATCTTTGAGATTTTCTAGTAATTATTTAGGTGTATTTTCTCGAATTAATTACTAATCAACTTTCTGGATAAAATCTAGTTGCCAAAATAGATCAGGCTAATTTATCAATAGTTAATAAAATTAATCATCTTTAGTTGGGAATTAACCCATAATTGGGGGCCTTTTGTAAATTGCCAAAAATAGAGCTGTTGTTAAGGCGTAAACATCTGCACTAAATAAACAAAATTCTTTGTATTCTCCATCTTAAAAATTGAGTCTAAAATTAACAATTTCAGGACTTGAATAAGGAGTAAGTGTTCTAGGTAACCATTTAATGAGGAGATCTTCAAATTAAGGTCTATAGCTGAATCCAAAATCTGCCAATTTGACACAATTTCTATTAACAACAAGTATATTTTCTAATTTGATATCATTGTGTGCTATATCCTACTAATGTAAGTATTCGACAGCAATAGAAATTTAAGTGAAATATTTGATTATAATTTTGAGTGATGTCTCATTCAATTTACAAAGGGTATAAAGATCACAAGTAGCATTTTCAAGGTACAGACTACAACATTATAAGTTCCCTCGGCAGGATCAAGTTAATGATGAGGGATAAATTATTATGGTTTAATTATGTATGGGTGATTGAGTTGACTCAATATTTTCCATTCATTTTATAGATCCTAACACTCTCTTTAATGAACATAGTTACAAGTACTATCATCTTCAATGAAAAGCTATCCATGAAACACTAATTTAATTACTACAGTCTAATGAATTTAAATTAAAACTTTACATCAGATGGGCCTAGTCGACGATGGATGTAAGAATTGTTACCTTGCTGTATTAAATATAAATGATCTGCTATTTTGTTGATTTGCTACATGTATATATATTTTTATATATTATAAATGTTTATTTTCATTCGTCTTCTTTTTTCTCTTCTTTTGGTCCTTAAACAACAATTAATAGAAATTCCTTATCTGGAGCAACCATAATCTCATTATTCTTTGATTTTATACGTAAAAAGGTCAATTCATTCTGAGGATCGAGGTCTCTGACTGTTGATCTGAATAATAATTTAAGTAACTTACTTGGCTTTGGCTGCTAAAGTTGGAATAGTTCTTGCAATATTTTCACCTTCTTTACTCTCAGTTCCATAAGTACTACGTATTATTTGACCATCATTATTACAAATTACTATTCCTTACACTGATTTATGAGTTTTGATTCTATTGATTGTTTCTTCTATTTCAGACATTATTAATTATAAAAATGAGAGCAACTTTATTTTAGTAGTTAAGAAAGATAAGAGCAGAATCTGCTAAAATTGGAGGAAATCGTAATAAATAAATGCTTGATACTTCTGAACTGGGAGGACGACAAAGTTTTTATAGAAAAAGACGCTTTGAAGATCCTAATAATACTGTAATTGAATAAACAAGTTCATTTCGATTTCATGATAAGGAAAAATATGAATAGGAAATCAAATATCTCAAAAATAATTTACATTCTTTGGAAAGCGAAAATATCAAACTTAAGACGAAAATTCATTAATTAGAAGGTAAGCACCTTCAATTTAAAATTAGACAATTAATTAAAATAAGAAAAGATGCTATAAGAATTAGATCGTATAGGCCCTGTTAAAACTTAATTATTAAAATCTTTGAATTATGCTACTGCTTTGAATGCATTAAAAAAAGAATTAAATAATATGAAATTGGAAATACAAAAAAAAGATTAAGAACTTATTAATATGAAAAAAAATCAAAGATATACTTAAATGAATGAATTATAGATTGAAAGAACTGCTTTTTAAGAAGAGACTGTTAGATTAAGATAATAAATTGAATCATTATTTTAAGCTAGTTTATACAATTTACAATAGAATAATGTAGAATAAGCTATTTAAGAAAGATTATTTTAATTAATTGCTTAAATTTAAGAAAATGTTATATAAAAAAGTGAGATGGAAAAAATAATTGAAAGACTTAAAAAAGAATGTTTGAAATATAGAGTAATAAATATTTAATTTATATTAGTCTTAACAAATAGAATAAGAATTTAGAAGTAAAAAGGAAATAAAAAAATTATTAGATCAAATAAAGGAAGAAGCAAATAATTCATAAAAAGAAAGTAGTAAAGAAACTTAATAATAATCTAAACCAGATGAATTACAATTATTAACAGACTTAATGTTTGCAAAATAAGATAATTAAGCAAAATAGAAAGAGATAGAAAATTAAAATTAAATTATTTATGATCTCGAAATGTAAATTAAGGAACTTACTATGGTTTAGAAATCAGAGACTTAAGAAATTTAACCATAATCATAAAGGCTTGATGTATCAATTAAATCAAAGATAACAAAAATCTAATCGCCAGTATTTGCAACTGAAATCATGTAAGAGATAGCTTTACCAGTAAAAAAATCTATGGTGATCTAAGAGTAAATCTAACAATAAGTGAAATAACCACAAAGAAGAAAAATAGTTCCAGTTAAATTTGAAGAAATAAAAAAAATTGGAGAAACTTTAAAATATAGATTAATGGCTATGGATATTAATATTTCACAATTAGATGAATATTTATTTGATGGAGATTCTATGACATTCAAAGAACTGAAAGATAAGTTAAGGCTCTATCCATTTAATTTAACAAATGAAGAGTCCTTATTAGTCTCTCGTTATATTATGGAAGGTGAAAATGATATTTATGAATTGTTGGAGTCATCTTCAAATTATAATCCATATATTCGTTCAGTTTTAAGAAGAATATTGACGAATTACAAATTAGAAATAGTAAAAAATTAATTACTGCATTCTGAAAAATTAAAAGATGTATTAACTAAGTTTAAACCATTCATTATCAGTAATATCAAGCAACTTTATGGAAAGGATTGTATAAGATTGAACAAATAATAGTTTAATGAGGCATTGATGTCACTGAATATAGAATTGAATTAATTTGAGTTAGATTATTTAATAGTTTAAGGAATTTTAGAAAGTAAAGGAGTTGAATCATTAAATTATGAAGAGATGCTAAAATATGAAGTTAAGATGGATTAGGATTAACAACTCTCTTTTTTGTTGACTGAATTAAACAATTAATAAAATTAGAAGGCGGAAATGTCAGTAATTGAAGAATGCCCAGAAAAATTATCAGAAATAGAGCAACTTGAGTAATAAGATCAAAAATAAGAGTAAATAAAAAACTTGTAAGAAAATGATGAAGAAAAATAATATGTTACCTTTGATAAATATGTAAGTGAATAATTTGATTCAGATAGTGAAGAATCAAAATAAGAAATATTAACATCGGCATTTAACTTGGGATAGTGATAATTATTTAATTTTTGATATTTTTTAAATAAATAAATATTATTTTATTCATAGAATGAGTTTTAGAATTGAGGACTCTCCATAATTCAAAGGAGAAGACTTAAGTCTCTCAAAAATATATTAATAGAGAGAATCCCATTTTTCTGGATTCTCTTATCCAAGTAGTGTAAGACATTAGAAAAAGTTTAATTTTCAAGCCTCAGTAGAAACAAAGGCTCAAACCCTAAATTAAACTAACATAGAGAATGCTTCAAATGAATTAAGCTATGAAATAGAGAAATTGATTAAAGAAAGAGAATAATTATTTACATAAGTGCAATATTTTAATCCAAAAATTACTTTTAACGTTTGGGAATCACCATAAAGAATAAGAATTTAAAGAAATAGTGCTCCAATAGCAAATAATAGATTATATTATATAAATTAACAGATCATAGATGCTGAACACACCTACAATAAATTCAGCTATTAATTAATTTGAATATATAAAATATATTATTATATTTATGGATTAAACAAACATTCCTGCTGCTGGATCAAGACCTTAAAAATAGACTTTAGATTAAGCACCTTCTGTTAGATAAAAGTAGAATTTTTAAATATGAAATAGTCAATAATAACGTTCAGATATTTTTGGTATTAATTCAGGACCTGTAGTCTAAACACCAAGTAGACAATAATAACGTGCAAAAACGGATATTTTTGGAGTTGAATAGAATGCAACATAATCCTTAGCTTAATCCAGAGTTGAAGTAAAATAATCTTTTTAATTTCTAGACTAGATAAACTAAAACTTATTAATCCAATATTTTCTAAGTAGATCCTTCTGCTAATAACACACATACAGCTCAAGAGACTATTAAAACTTAAAATAAAGGAAAAAATACTTAAGCAAGACATTAAGACCACGGGAAAGATTTTTTATTCGGAAAAAGCGGTATTTTCAATTAGCAATTATTTCATTAGATTTTGATGAGTATAAATCGATTAAAAGAACATCAACATTGAAAGAATTTAAACCAAAAGAAGATTATGATCCAGCTAATAGAAGAGTAAAGGAATTATATGGAAATGAAATCGCAAAAGAACACTTACCTACATAAAAGGTTTTATTAGAAGAAAAAAAAGAAACTGTTAAAAAACAATAATAAAAGGATGTTGATCCTTCAGAAAGAAAATAGTTAGAGAACTCATCAAGTGTTTTTGGATAAAATGATAAGAAAGCCTTTTAATAATAAGGTAAGTAAGAAAAATTAACTTCCTAAAATCAAAAATGGTCAACTACAAGTAAAGCAGTCGATAACAGTACAAAAAATTATGATCCTGATACATTTGCTAAAAACAAAAAAGATTAAGAATTATAATCCAGTGTATTTGGTGGAGAATAAAAAGTAACACAAAGTACAGCTACCAAATAAAAATTAATTCCAACAAATTAAACATGGTAATAAACTGATACTGTTAAGAATATGAAAGATTTTGATCCATCTTAATCATAATTGAATGAAGTTGATCCATCTTAAAAGAAAATAGATACATTAAAATCAGCATTAGATACACATGATTATAAAGCTTAACCTGTTAAACACACTGAAAAGCTTAGTGTGAAATAATAGAAATATAAAAAAGATGTTTTTACAAGAGGAGGAGAAAAAGATTAAGTTCCTTCTCAATAAAAATAAAAATAACCAGCTTAACAATAATAATAGAAAGAAGTAGTACATGAATAATCAGATATGATTTGAAATTATTGTATAAGTTATTGTGATTATCCTCAAATTTAAATTAGATTGATCTGAGCATTCAAATATTTCATTGCTTTTTTCTTTTCTTTTATTATGATCTTAATATAATATAAAATTTAACTATTTTGTTTGTGAATACAAATTTAGCATTTAATTAAATTGATATAATATTTATAATGAACAGAATCAAATATTCAAATAGTTTTGTTCAACGATAAATCAGGCAGATAGACGAAATTTCAATAAAATTTAAGATTGGTGGAGTTAGGCGGATCAATGGAACCTCTTTATTAATATAATGATTAGAGAGTTCCATTTATTCATGAAATACTCAAAAGACCTTTTAAAGGTGAATCTTTAGTTGGTTTTAATTCATTGGATATAAGAATTGGAGAAGGAATTTTTAGTAAAAGCTTATGAAGATTAGGAAGCAAAGTTACAGGAATTGATCTTTCTTAAAACTCTATAGAAACAACAATCAATCATAAAAATTCTTATCCTGAATTAAGAAATTATTCAGAATTAGAGTATAATTTTATCAGCATTAAAGAATTATCAAAAAATATAATGAAATTTAATACGATATTATTTTATGGAAGTAATTGAACATGTTGAAAATCTGCCTTTATTTATAAGAATCTGCAGCAAATTATTAGGTCCTGATGGAAAGCTATTTATTTCTTCTATAAATAAAAGTTATGAATCTTATTTGAAATTAATAATAGGAGCAATATATATTATGAGAGTAGTTGTATAAGGTACGCATGATTGGAACAATTTTAAGACGTCAGAATAGGTGTGGCTTCAATTAAATAAATTAAAAATAAATTTAAATATGGTATTATGTGTTAATTTAAATTTAAGTTATGTAGTGTTAAGTATGATTTAGGAAGTGGCTAGATGAAATATAGTAGTAATGAAGCTTAGTATATTTTGGCTTGCAGCAAATAAAAAAGGGAATGATAATCATTTTATTAATAATATTCTGAATGTAACTACATTTATTAGTCAATTTTACAAGAGAAATTGTTACCCTTCATTTATCTATTAAAAATAATAAATTTATTGTTTTATATATTTCACTAAACAAGCTTAGATTTTGATTCATAAGACTGGATAATTCATATATCATAAAATCAACTCACAATCAAAAATTATTTGAAATGATTTATTTCAAGTACTTGCGTACTTTCAGTACTTATAATACTTTAAAATATTTATATAAAAAAGGGCTAGTAAAACAAACTCAACATAAATTAAAATCTCTTAAAGATATTCATTTTTTAAATTTCTAAAATAAAAATATTATTTTCATTTAGGTCGCAATTACAAATTCAGAAACCATGTTAATAATGCCTTAATTTAAATCATGAATTATTTTAGACTAACAAATCAAAAGAAGAAGAGAAATGAACCACCAGGATAAGGATAGCAACAGAAGAAGGAAAATAGTCATAGAAGATCAAAGTTTGAAATAGACAAGAAAAAATCGAATAATAATATAATTATCATTAATTCATATTAAACATGAGTATCAAAAAATTTAATCTCATTTTTTTCTTTTGAGAGATCAAAATATATTTTATTTAATATTTAGTAATAATCATCATCTTTAAATATTATGAAGCTGATTTAATAGAAACTTAAAGAAGATGATAGAATCTTGAGATATAATATAATCGCTATATTTTGTAAATTTTTTGATTAATTTCAATATAGTAAATTGTATTTAGTTTAAACAAATTATATATTATATTTAATAAAATTGACATAATATAGAAAAAATTTATAAATCATTTACTAATAGAAGTATTTAAACAAAAAAAATCGTATTTCCTAATTTATTAATAGTTAATAGATGATATAGAGTGCAATCCTAATAATTGCTATGATGTCATCATTAATCTTAGCATAAAAATGCGGTAACTTTTAATGTTAATGATTCAAAGACACCATCAATTAACAATACAATATTTACGCCACAGTTAATGAAATAAATGAATGGGAGATGAGAGAGTTTTTCTTTACAGGAGAAAATTTGAAGTACAAGATAAATGGTGATTGTCCATACCTTGAAACTGTTGATCCTTTGTCAGAAGTAGGAGATGCAGTACCTCATGGCGATCGTATGAATATTTAATTAATGAAAGCTTCAATTGGCAATATATAAAATTTGAAGGCATATAGATCATTTGATAATGGAGCGTGGTTGAATGATTTTGTTTTTTTGGAATAAAACAAGACTGACATAGATGTCTTTTATGCATTAGGGTATGTAGATTTTGTTGATAAAAATAGAGATCCTCAGAAAATGGATTAAGTTCCTAGATTCCATGCATAAGTAAATGTACGAAATTCGACAGTGTCATTTATATGCCATGACTTAGATTTCTTGACAAATTATCTAATAGTGATAGATTGTTAATAACCAGATTTGGATGATCCAGTTCATTTGGGATATCACAATGGATTTATTGTTGTTGATTTACAAGATTCATAACATTATGATATTTCACCAAATGAACACCCAAAAGGATATAAATATAATTATACAGAAAATAGAAAAATAGCATTTCATAATTTTAGTTTTTTTACATCTGAATAAGATTAAGAGGAAGGAGGATTAGGTGCTGATAAAATATCATTATTACTTGAGCAGAACCAGCATGGGCAACAGAGCATGCTGATTTAGGAAAAGATTAATTAGATGATGATTGTGAATTAGAAGTTTATAAATTTAGTAATAAGAAATTTTCATCAACTCCTGTTGCTTATCTTACAAAAATAGAATTAGCAGCATTATTGGGTACTGATCCAACAAAATAAAAATTTTCTATTATTGATTTCTAATTAGAACCAAATGGAGACATCTATGTTCTTGATGGAGAAAATGGCGTTTATGTGTTAAAATTTACATCTCAAGCATTGGAGTGGAAGTTAAAGGAACATATAAGTTTCCCTTATATAACTAAAGTTATGGATTTGATTTCAATTATTTAGTAAATAATGATGGAACAACTACTAGACATTTGGTAATAGTGTTCAAAGATAAAGCAATTTTCTATGAAAATGGAATGCTGAAGTTTGGTATAAAACTACCAGAGAATGCTAATTATGGAAGAGTCTAAGTTTAGATAAGTTTATATTTTTTGGTTTTGAAATTAGATAATGTTGTATATGTTTATCGTACAGATGACGGATAAAAATTGTATACATACACAAAGGATATATTTGATGCATTGATAATTAATCCATATGAACCAGATTTATTGGGAGTCAATCAAAATTCTGCACACAGATTTTTAATATCTAATGGATACTTAAGATTAAAGAAATAGGACAGTGTTAATGATGGAACTAAAACATATACTTTAGAAGCTGTATCATTAGATGATACATCATAAAAATGTTCAGTTATTGTAAATGTGAGAGTATTAGCTAAGAACAATACTTAAATTTTTGAATAAAGTAATCATCCATTCCCTTAAAGTATTTATGTTCCTACTCCACCAATTGCTATTGATTTGATTGCTTCTGGTCCAAATCTTTAATATTCATCATTAGCTACTTTAGAACATCCAGAATTAGGAAATTCAAAAATTATTGTAACAATAAAATCAGCATGGAACTTGTAATTAAATGGAATCAGACTACCTGATGCTAAAGAAGTCATTTATTCTGATATTCTTGTTACTGACTCAGCTACTTAATTCTATTTATTACTTTAAATTCAAACCAAAATAGTTTATGTCTACAAATGTACTCATAGTCTATTAGATCATGAAAATGCAGAATGCGAAGATTTTGATACATTCGCTTTTGCAGCTTTAATAGACAAAAAGAAACACCCTTTCTATTGGTCGATCTTTATTGACTAACTTACTTATATGTATTAAGATACAGATTACTCCATTCGAATTTACACTAGTATTGGAGGATAAGTTACAAATGTGGGTAAAATAGCTGTGGATAGTGCTGATCCTCTTAATAAATTTTCATCAGTCACCATGGTTAAAAGTGAAATCTATTGTGTTTAAGAAGATAGAAAAACTGTTTTAGTTTTTGCTGCTACTTTACCATTTAGATTACTCTATGAAATTAACATTAATATACTTAGCGAATACAAAATAGAAGGATATTTCACACCTAAAAGAGTTTTCAGTAATAAGAAAGGAAAAAGCTAACTTTTATTCATTCAATCATTAAACCATTTATATGTAGGATAATTTACAAATTCTAATAGTTTCTCTACTTTTATCCTCTATCGTCAAATCAATATTATTGCTGATTCTCAAGTTGAAGTTGCTATTGGCTAAGAACATTTCTTTGTGGTTTAATAATATAATGATACAAGTTTGATTGAAGAATACAACTATAAGCATATATAAAGAATCTACAAAACTAAGGACTTACCACTCTTTGATTATAAATTACAAAAACCTTTGACTGTCGATTATTCATCACAAACAGGTTGGTTGTTTGTAAGAGCAACTGATGGAAAAGAAACAGTTGTCTTGATTTATGAGCCTGGAGTTGTTTCTCATATTTGTTTACATAAAGTATTAGAAACTAAGGCTATGGATTTTGATGGTAAGACATTTGACATGGCAGTTGATGGAGGCAATTAGATGTTTTCTTATTTCAATAATAATACAATCCATAGAGTTGTTAGTATTTTAGCTGATGCTGAATTATACATCACACCAGAATTAGAAACTTAATAATATGTTAATGAACTAACAATAGGAGTTCAAGTTTCCAATTATCACTATAATAATCCATTAATTTTCTATGCTTAGATTACAGTTCTTAATACTTAAAGTGATATTATTATTAACTAAGAGCTATTTACTTCAAAAAAAAAGATCTTCAAATTTATTAAAAAAAAATAACAATAGATAATTAAGATGGGAACAGATTGGTATACAGGATAATAAGTTGGTATTGCAGTGAAATGTGATTCATGTGAAGGTGACTTATAAGTTAGAAACAACATTTATAAAATTTTAGAAAGTACAGATATGCCATATGATATATCTGATGGAGTGTAATTTGGCACAGCAGGTTAAGTGTATTAAACAAGATAAGCATTGCTTTTCTAGGATGTTGCAGGTAAATTCAAAGAAAGAAAAGAAATAGCAGATAGAAGTATCAGCTGTGAGTTAGTGACTGTCTCAGCAGATAATAATTTCATATTATCAAGTTATACAACCACAAAAAATGAAGTTGGTATTTTTATTAATTAATGTACAAATTTGGCTAATTGTCAATAATTCAAATAAGGTTCATAAATTATTGGAGGAGCTGAGAAAATTTCAAAGGTTGTTATGCCTGATTCCAAAAATATTATAATTTTAAATACTGATCCTGAAAACTTTTCATCTATAAAGAGTTTTATTTTGGTAACAGTATTTGATTATGATCAATCTAAATTTACAATTTCTAATAAAATTTTAATCAATGAGTATTATGTTGGCAGCAAATTATTATAAATTGGAGATTTTGATGTTATCAAATATTAGATCAATAGTGTTAATTACAATACAATTATCTTTACAGATATAAACAATGGCCTTTACTTTGCTCATTTTGCATACGATGCCTAAGGTGTCTTTTCTAAGACTACTAATGAATAATTCAAGTTAAGATCTTTTTCAAATGATTAATATCATATAGCAGATGATGCTTTGTTCCTCTAAGTAAAGGTTTTAAGCTGTTAACTTAATAAATCTACTCTTCAGATCAATCTTTTAGTGACAACAACTAATTCAGCTCATTATTCCTTTGGATTTGATCTTGATATTTCAAAACCAACTTTTGGATTACCTATAATAAAAGCTAATACTGTTTTAAATTATGTCTTGACTCCTTATGGAAAATGGAATGCAATTGATAAACTTGCTTATGTTAATGGACATGTTGCTATCCCCTATAGTAATGAATTGAAAGTTGTTATTGGTGTTTATGATATTCCTAATAATAGACCAGCAATTGTCAAAACTATTCCATTCAATCACGGAATTTGGGCTAATTATCGTAAAGCTTTACCAATTAATTTTGTTCTATTTTTAATTAAAGATGCCTCAACTAAATATGTATCCATTTATTTTTATAATTTAGCCTACTTTATATACAAATATAAATTATGATGACTAAACTGGTGAGTATTTAATTGAATAATATGAATTAAGAGCAGATCCTTAATTGTTTCTAACCAATTCTACATCTTATTCTGACTAAGTTTAATTCAAAATCTATTTGCGTAATGACTTTACTGAAGTCCAAGGATTAGCATATTTATCAACCACAGATCCAAATCCATCTAAAGTTCCTATTCCTGATGATAGCGAAAGGTATTTTAAATCACATACCATTTAGTTCCAACAAGTGGTAGATTACAGGATGATTTGATTTTTATACAATAACTATTTTATCCGTCCATATTAATGTGTATATAAAGTTTAATATTTCTATTAATAATTATTTTTCATGTTATTTATCAATTCTTTTAGCAAATTGGTATATTTTCTTTAAGGAATTGTATCAAATTCTTGATAAATTGGTTTATATTCTGCTTCACCACCATCATTAAATCTGACTTTAGATTAGAAGGAATTTCATTTATAAATTAATTTTAATTAGCTTGGCTTTTTTAAATTAATTAAATAATATCTAAATTTCTAAATCTATTGATTAAACTAATTTAAAATTTAATACCATATTATATATTCCAAAGGCTATCTTTTCATTTAAAAACACTAAAAATTTTGCTTGCTCTTATCTTAAACAATAATGTAATTAAAATTCAATCAATATTTATTTTCTTATAATATTTAAAAAAAATCTAAACATAAACCCTTGCCAAGCTAATTAGATAAATAATTTTTTAGTTTATAATATATTCTTCCAATTTATAAAGTTTAACTATTTTATTTTGGAATACAAATTAGATTTAAATTTTGTAAAAAATATTGTTTTTGATCAAACAGTGTTTGGAGTATGCTCTTGCAAGCAAAAATGAAGAACGAACAAAGGAAAAGATATGCAATAGATTATTGAGAAGAAAATAGTTAAAGGGAAGAGAAAGGATATTAGCAAAAAAAATTTTTCATTTTGCTCAAGTTAGATCATCATAATATTATATTTCATGAAGTATATTATATTAACGTATAGTGAAATAAGTATCTTTGGATAATTATAGGCATATGATAGGTTGATTGGATTCCAAAAAAATGTAACATTTCCATAGAAGCAAATTCATGAAATAATTTAGATTTAAGTTATATGATATTGAGTATGATTAATGGTTAGATGAAATATATAAATAAAGAAACTCAGTATATTGTGAAACAAAATCAAGTTTGTTTTAAATCTCTTATAGGATAATCATTTCATAATTTCTTACACTTCAAAATATTATTTTAACTTAGATTGCAATTACAAATTCAGAAGCAAAGTAAATAATCCATTTTTGAAAATCATAACTTAGGAATTCCAAAATCCACTAGAACTTAATGAAAAAATGAATGAATTTAAATGACCAAAACATGTTCAGGTGAAAGAGATGAATATTAGATGTTAGCAAGACCTATACTTTATTGATATAGATTAAAAATGATCGAAAATATAGTCAAATTCATTTGAGTAATAACTTTTCAATTTCCTTCTTCAGGTTTCCTTTTTTTAATTCTTAGAGTAAGCTTTTGGTATCAGGATAAACCTCTAAAATAACGGACATGTCCTTATCATTAACTTTCAACATTTCTCGAATTTCTAAATCTATAAAACATAATTTGTATTCATACATTATGATTGTTCACTTCTCCTTCGAGTCTACATCAAGGGTGCTTCTTACTGATCTAGAAGTCGTCGTTTTCTCTTCAAATTTATATATGAGTGATCTCCACTTTACTTTCTTATTTCATCATAATCTAGAATACTATCCTCTTCTACAGGTATTTCCTTTATCATTTTGAGATTTAGTTTAACCTTTGTACCTTTTACAGATACAGGAATGTTTTGATCTATTTTTTACTAAGCTGGATTCTGTGTCTCTGTTTAGAATGGAATAATCTGTTAAGGTAGAATTTGTAAGTGAGGTGTTTATGGTATCATTGGAATTCGCATAGGAGCCATTTAAGGTAGTTGTTGCATCTATTGCATTTATTACAATTGCTGCATCATTACATAATATGATGAATAGTTTATTAATGGAGACCTAAAATGGTATAAGAGTTTAGAGTAATATGTATATTGGGTATATAATAGAGTAAATTAGAAATTAGTACTTACATGAACTGAGGATTAGGATAGATCATTGGAGTTTATGCTGTTGATTATACTGGAGCATAAACAGGAGGTTTAGCTTTTAACATTGCCAAGTAATCTTATTGGGGAAAGCTCATTTTTGAGTTATTTAAATATTTCTCTAAGAATTCATATTCAGATTCGATATTTAGATTTACAGAAGATTTTATGGATAGAAAAATCAGATCATTTCTGATTTATTCTACAGGTTTATGGGTTCAATTTAGATAAACTGAATTGGATCAAAAAGTCATCTGACCACAACCAGTTATTATATTTGTTTAAATGTTATATTGAGAGATCTCTCTTTAATAAAAAATGTAAAAATCTCATTCTCCTCAGCCTCGTCGTACAAACAGCAAATATTCCTCCTTTCCCTTTAAATTACCAATGAATAACCTCGCTCTTCCTTTAACCAACAGCCATGTATAGTCGGATTAGGGTAGAAAGGTGATAATACATGTAGGATAACAATCAGGCAAAAAGATTAAATAACTTTTATAAGTCAATACGAGGCCACTAATAAATCCAGCAAAAGTTCAAATCGATATTGAAAAATTGTAGATCATAATGAATGGGAAGTATGAAAAAAATATCTCAAACACTTCTTACTCAATGTAGGTTGAAAATACTCTTAAAGAATTTCGAACAAAGGTAGATGAGCAAGATAGTATCATTAGATTGTAGGAATTCAAGATTAATAGATTACAATAAGAACTCTTATTCTCCAAATAATAATATTAGCGAATGATATCAAAATTTGTATAGGTGGATGGTAAATATAACTATTATCCGCAATCGACTAAATTAACAAAATCTTAAATTAGTATACCATAAATTGAACCAATGCCTTCAATAAATAAAATTTTACAAGTGGACAATAAAAAGAAAAAAAATATAATAGAAAAAATTTAAGGACTTGCTTGGGAAAATAAAAAAATAAAAGAGGAAGTTTAAAATAAATTTAAACAAGTTTTGCAATTTGTAAATGAATTTGCGATGACAGTCATTTCTTAAGCTTCTAGTCTCTATGTTTAATAAATAAAAGCTATAGAATCAATTTATGAAATACACAACAAGTAATTTGAAATTAAATAATAGTTTTAACATGAATGATTACTAAGGAATGAGAGCTCAATATGATATATTGAATAGGGAAATTTAAATACTAGAATAGTAAAAGGAAATATTATATGATAAAGTAATTTCATTACTTTGAAAATTATTATAATTAATGAACGACATATAACCAGCTCCAAGTCTTGTTAAATATAGTAATCCAATTCTCATTTCAAACAGTCAAAAGAAATAAATTAAATAACAGCCTCCAAGCAATACTGAAGATATTTTGAATGCTATACTACTTCCAAGAGAATTTAATCATTAGAAGAATCAATTGTAAATGTAATGTGTTTCTCCTGCACCTTCAACCAAACAAGATGTGCTTGAATTATAAGATAAATTAGATAAATGGTTATAATAAAGACAGGCAAGAGAGACTGGTCTATGTCCAATTAGAGAGGAGTTATACTCATAATGTTTTGATGAATTAATAAGACAAATTACTATTAATTGTGCAGAGAGAGGTATGCTTTTAGTAACAGTGCGAAATGAAGTTAGAATGGTCATTTAAACTTATTAAACTTTATATGCATCAAGCATAGCTTTCGGAATGAGAAAGTTTTTATCTGAAGAAGAAAAAAAAGTATTCAAAAATATTTAATTAGGCCGAATATAGATAACGTATAAAGTAACTAGAATAAGAGTGCTCAGATTTATAAAGACAAGTAGAATCCTTAGAATAAAAACTCTTGGATACTAAATAATAAGATGAAATTAAAAGATAGTAAACTAAAGAGGCTCATGCAGAAATTGTTTCCTAATTAAAGGCTGATATAAAAGCAAAAGTAAATGGCGATCTTGAAAAAATACTCACTGGATAAAAGAAATTACCTGATAAGAAATAATGATATTCATAATATTTTCATTATTTTATATTTGATAAATGTATTTAATGAAATAAGATAGCATCTTGAAATAAATATTAAAATTTTATTAATTTGTATTTTTTAATGGTCATAATATCATAAATCCTAAAATTGTTATTAGCACTTAGAATATCAAAGCATTTGAACTATCATCACAGGATAATCCAGCACAATTTTCTGAATTATAAGCCAGCACTTTTTCTTAGGATGGGCATGTACTATTAGATGTCTCCTTGATGCAAAAAACGGAAGTTGATCCAACTACTGAAGGATCATCTGCAACTTCTTATAAGAGTCTAGGAATTGTTGTTTGTCCTAATGAAGCATCAGAAGCTAGAGTGACTATATTTCCCAAGAAATTTAATTTAACCTAATACATTTATTCTCCATTTTATCCTTTATTTAATTTTTTAGGCTTGACTGTCTTTGTTACTCCAGCGGCGACTACTGTAATTTCAGCATCTTGAGGCTTCCATTTTCCACCTTTAAATCCTTCCTAGTTGATTGTTTATTTAACATAAATGGTTTCTCCTACTACTAATTCAGTTGTGTTAAAAGGTGCCTGACAAACTTCATCTGAACATAATGTCAATGTGGATTGAGCAATATAAACACATTCTTCTTCAGCTGCATCTGCACAAACCTATTCAGCTTGTACTTTAGGCTTTATTTCACTTGATTTTAGATTTGCTAAATCTTTGCTAAAAATAGTGGAGAATTTAAAAGCATAGAAAGCTAATGGTTTAATTCCATTGTCATTTGGTAATAACAAGGTCACTGATACGGCATAAAAACCAGTGTATTTAACCTCCTCATTTGATTCATCTTTCATATATAATGAGTCGAATTAACTAACAATTAAAAATTGAAATACTCTTTATTGACGATAAAGCTCCAAATTCTTGAGGAACCCTAAGTCGTTGCAGTAATAATTGTAGAGTCTGCTTCTTCATCTGTGAATGCAGCGCCAAATCTCCTTAAATTAACCTAGATACAAGTTGTGGGTAATCCAGTTTCTACAGAAGTCTATAAGTCTTTAGCATTAGCAAATATCAAAGAAAATTAAAGATTTCCATCCTTAAACTCTAATTTAAATGTTGGTCTTTTGGCTATCTATTTCTTTCCATTAGCTTCAGTCTATTTGAAGAATCCAATTTAAGTTTTGCAATTTTTGGCATCCTTGCATTTTCCTTTAATAAGAACCTGGTCTTCTGTACATGTTGTTTCTGTTTCAGCAGTCATAGCAACATATACTAAAAAACTTACAAACAATATTTGTAATATTTTCATAAAATGTATTATTAAATTATTTTCAATCATTAATGGTGCTTATATAGCATAAATTTATAGAAGATGTTTACAAATATTACGATTTTCAAGATTTTTTTCATTTATTTTTTATTATATTACGTAATCATTATAATATTAAAATTTTTAAATATATATAATTATATTTTATAGCCCGATTATGATAATATTCCAAAATAATCATCCAAGGTAAGTATTTTCTATATAGAATGGATAAGTATAAATGCGATGTTTTAATATAATTATTTTTATATATTTTATTCAAAGTTTCAAATTTACTTGGCTTTGATCGTAAATTTCCTACTTAGACAAGCTAGAAACATTATTGTCTGTAAATATAGTTTACTGTTATCTAGATTGTATTTAATATTTAGTAATCATCATCATTTTTTTTTCCCTTTTTTTTTATGATCTTTTGAACATGAAAATTACAATAAGAGCAATAAAGGAGAGGATTATGATCAAAAAAATCAAAAACATGTATTATTTTGAATTGATTTTTTAAATAGCAGGCATCTTGAGTAGGATATAATCTAATATGTTAATATAATAATTAATTTAAAATGATATAATAAAAGCACATTTTTAATGAAAATATTAAGAAATTTGTATTAATCAAGATACAATAAGGATTTCATAAATAAAAAACCACACATAAAATAAATTATATTTTGTTATATAAAGCATTAATAATATTATTACTAAAATAAAATAAAATTTGTTTACAGATTTTGAGAATATGTATAAAAATTTTAAATAATATGAAGTTGATTTATTAGAAACTTAAAGAGGATGATAAAATTTTGATATATTGTAAGTTTTGTGATTAATTTAAATTTAGTAAATTGTAATTAGTTTAAACACATTATATATAATACTTAAAAAATTGTACATAATATAAAACATTTATTAATAGAAGAATTTAAACAAAAAAAATCTTATTTCCTAATTTATTAATAATTAATAGATGATGAAGAGTGCAATTCTAATAATTGCTGTGATGTCATCATTAATCCTAGCATAAAAATGCGGTAACTATTAATGTTAATGATTCAAAGACACCATCAATTAACATTACAATGTTTATGCTACAGTTAATGAGCTAAAAGAATGGGATATGAGAAAATTTTTCTTTACAGGAGAAAATTTGAAGTACAAGATAAATGGTGATTGTCCATACTTTGAAACTGTTGATCCTTTGTCAGAAGTAGGAGATGCAGTACCTCATGGCGATCGTATGAATATTTAATTAATGAAAGCTTCAATTGGCAATATATAAAATTTGAAGGCATATAGATCATTTGATAATGGAGCGTGGTTGAATGATTTTGTTTTTTTGGAATAAAACAAGACTGACATAGATGTCTTTTATGCATTAGGGTATGTAGATTTTGTTGATAAAAATAGAGATCCTCAGAAAATGGATTAAGTTCCTAGATTCCATGCATAAGTAAATGTACGAAATTCGACAGTGTCATTTATATGCCATGACTTAGACTTCTTGACAAATTATCTAATAGTGATAGATTGTTAATAACCAGATTTGGATGATCCAGTTCATTTGGGATATCACAATGGATTTATTGTCGTTGATTTACAAGATTCATAACATTATGATATTTCACCAAATGAACACCCATAAGGATATAACTATAATTATACAGAAGATAGAAAAATAGCATTTCATAATTTTAGTTTTTCAACATCTGAATAAGATTAAGAAGAAGGAGGATTAGGTGCTGATAAAATATCATTATTACTTAGAGCAGAACCAGCATGGGCAACAGAGCATGCTGATTTAGGCAAAGATTAATTAGATGATGATTGTGAATTAGAAGTTTATAAATTTAGTAATAAGAAATTTTCATCAACTCCTGTTGCTTATCTTACAAAAATAGAATTAGCAGCATTATTGGGTACTGATCCAACAAAATAAAAATTTTCTATTATTGATTTCTAATTAGAACCAAATGGCGACATCTATGTTCTTGATGGAGAAAATGGCGTTTATGTGTTAAAATTTACATCTCAAGCATTGGAGTGGAAGTTGAAGGAACATATAAGTTTCCCTTATATAACTAAAAGTTATGGATTTGATTTCAATTATTTAGTAAATAATGATGGAACAACTACTAGACATTTAGTAATAGTGTTCAAAGATAAAGCAAATTTCTATGAAAATGGAGTGATGAAATTTGGTATAAAATTACCAGAGAATGCAAATTATGGAAGAGTATAAGTTTAGATGAGTTAATATTTCTTGGTTTTGAAATTAGATAATGTTGTATATGTTTATCATTCAGATGACGGATAAAAATTGTATACATACACAAATGATTTATTTGATGCATTGATAATTAATCCATATGAACCAGATTTATTGGGAGTCAATCAAAATTCTGCACACAGATTTTTAATATCTAATGGATACTTAAGATTAAAGAAATAGGACAGTGTTAATGATGGAACTAAAACATATACTCTAGATGCTATATCATTAGATGATACATCATAAAAATGTTCAGTTACTGTAAATGTGAGAGTATTAGCTAAGAACAATACTTAAATTTTTGAATAAAGTAATCATCCATTCCCTTAAAGCATTTATGTTCCTACTCCACCAATTGCTATTGATTTGATTGCTTCTGGTCCAAATCTTTAATATTCATCATTAGCAACTTTAGAACATCCAGAATTAGGAAATTCAAAAATTATTGTAACAATAAAATCAGCATGGAACTTATAATTAAATGGAATCAGACTACCTGATGCTAAAGAAGTCATTTATTCTGATATTCTTGTTACTGACTCAGCAACTTAGTTCTATTTATTAGTTTAAATTCCAACCAAGATTATTTATGTCTACAAATGTACTCATAGTCTATTAGATCATGAAAACGCAGAATGTACAGATTTTGATACCTTTTCTTTGGGAGTTTAGATAGACAAAAAGAAGCATTCCTTCTATTGGTGGATCTTCATTAACTAACTTACTTATATGTATTAAGATACAGATTACTCCATTCAAATTTACACTAGTACTGGAGGATAAGTTAAAAATGTGGGGAAAATAGCTGTGGATAGTACTGATCCTCTCAATAAATTTTCATCAGTCACTATGGTTAAAAGTGAAATCTATTGTGTTTAAGAAGATAGAAAAACTGTTTAAGTTTATGCTGCTACTTTACCATTTAGATTACTCTATGAAATTAACATTAATATACTTAGCGAATACAAAATAGAAGGATATTTCACACCTAAAAGAGTTTTCAGTAATAAGAAAGCAAAAAGCTAACTTTTATTCATTCAATCATTAAACCATTTATATGTAGGATAATTTACAAATTCTAATAGTTTCTCTACTTTTATCCTCTATCGTCAAATCAATATTATTGCTGATTCTCAAGTTGAAGTTGCTATTGGCTAAGATCATTTCTTTGTGGTTTAATAATATAATGATACAAGTTTGATTGAAGAATACAACTACTAGCATATATAAAGAATCTACAAAACTAAGGACTTACCACTCTTTGATTATAAATTACAAAAACCTTTGACTGTCGATTATTCATCACAAACAGGTTGGTTGTTTGTAAGAGCAACTGATGGAAAAGAAACAGTTGTCTTGATTTATGAGCCTGGAGTTGTTTCTCATATTTGCTTACATAAAGTATTAGAAACTAAGGCTATGGATTTTGATGGTAAGACATTTGACATGGCAGTTGATGGAGGCAATTAGATGTTTTCTTATTTCAATAATAATACAATCCATAGAGTTGTTAGTATTTTAGCTGATGCTGAATTATACATCACACCAGAATTAGAAACTTAATAATATGTTAATGAACTGTCAACAGGAGTAAGAGTCAGTAATTATCCAAATAATGAACCATATACACTATTTACTAAGGTTATAGTTCTTAATACTTAAAGTGATATTATTATCAAATAATAACTATTTACTTCAAAGAAAAAGATTTTCAAATTTGTTAAACAAGAAAAAGAATAAATTATTGACATGGGAACAGATTGGTATACTGGATAACAAGTTGGTATTGTTGTAAGATGTGATTCATGTAAAGGTGACTTATAAGTTAGAAACAACATTTATAGAGTTTTAGATGGTGCAGATATGCCATATGATATATCTGATGGAGTGTAATTTGGCACAGCAGGTTAAGTGTATTAAACAAGAGAAGCATTGATTTTCTAGGATGTTGCAGGTAAATTCAAAGAAAGAAAAGAAATAGCAGATAGAAGTATCAGCTGTGAGTTAGTGACTGTCTCAGCAGATAATAATTTCATATTATCAAGTTATATAACCACAAAAAATGAAGTTGGTATTTTTATTAATTAATGTACAAATTTGGCTAATTGTCAATAATTCAAATAAGGTTCATAAAGTATTGGAGGGGCTAAGAAAATTTCAAAGGTTGTTATGCCTGATTCCAAAAATATTATAATTTTAAATACTGATCCTGAAAACTTTTCTTCCACTGATAGTTTTATATTGGTTACAGCTTTTGATTATGATCAATCCAAATTCACAATTTCCAATAAATTTACAATCAACGATTAATATGTTGGCAGCAAATTATTATAAGTTGGAGATTTTGATGTTATCAAATATTAGATCAATAGTGTTAATTACAATACAATTATCTTTACAGATATAAACAATGGCCTTTACTTTGCTCATTTTGCATACGATGCCTAAGGTGTCTTTTCTAAGACTACTAATGAATAATTCAAGTTAAGATCTTTTTCAAATGATTAATATCATATAGCAGATGATGCTTTGTTCCTCTAAGTAAAAGTATTGAGTAGTTAACTGAGTGGATCTACACTTCAGATCAATCTTTTAGTAACAACAACTAATTCAGCTCATTATTCCTTTGGATTTGATCTTGATGCTTCAAAACCAACTTCTGGATTACCTATAATAAAAGCTAATACTGTTTTAAATTATGTCTTGACTCCTTATGGAAAATGGCATGCAATTGATAAACTTGCTTATGTTAATGGACATGTTGCTATTCCCTATAGTAATGAATTGAAAGTTGTTATTGGTGTTTATGATATTCCTAATGATAGACCAGCCGTTGTCAAAACTATTCCATTCAATCACGGAATTTGGGCTAATTATCATAAAGCTTTACCAATTGATTTTGCTCTACTTTTAATTAAAGATGCCACAGCTAAATATGTATTCATTTATTTTTATAATTTAGCCTACTTTATATACAAATATAAATTATGATGGCTAATCTGATGAGTATTTAATTGAAAAATATGAATTAAGAGCCGATCCTTAATTGCTTCTAACCAATTCTACATCTTATTCTGACTAAGTTTAATTCAAAATCTATTTACATAATGACTTTACTGAAGTTCAAGGATTAGCATATTTATCAACCACAGATCCAAATCCACCTAATCCTCCTGAACCTGATGATAGTGAAAGGTACATTAAATTTTTTAACTATTTAGCTCCAATTGGTGGTGGATTACTTTAATTGTTATTTTTGGTGTTGCCATTTTAGGAGTTGGAGGATGGTTTGCCTATAAAAAGTTTGGTAAAAAGGGTGTTGATCCTCTTTTAGGATGATGTGATATTTTATTCAATATATGTTTTTATACATATATATAAATGTGTATATAAGTTTAATAATACAATAAATCATTATGTTTCATGTTATTTATTCATTTTTTTAGCAATCTTTGTATAGATTCTTTGAGGAATTGTATTACATTCTTGATAGATTGATTAATATTCTGCTAAATCACCACCATCAAATCTGACTTTAGATTAATTCAAAGGAATCTCATTCAAAAATTAATTTTAATTAGCTTGACTCTTTTAAATTGATTAAAATAGTATCTAAATTTCAGGGTCTAATGATTAAATTAATTTTAAATTAACTACTGATTTTTAACCTTATGATAATACCTTTTCATATGCTTCAAATGCTTCCTATATTGCTATTGATTCTAATTGCTAACTTTAATTTTGAAAATCTAAAAATTTTGCTTGCTCTAAATCTTAAACAATATTAGGCTTTGGCAAATATTTAAATAATTTCTTCTATTCTTCTGTCAAAATTATATCTCTAAGTTAATCAAATTGATATAATTTCTAAATTATTAATTTCACATCTAGTTTTTCCATATATTTTTCTTTTGCAATATCTAACATCTTTCTCTTTTTTTTATCACATCCAATATATATCCATATAATTTATTTGATTGTTGGATCAATTTGGTTTCTTTTTTTTAAGATTTCATTTAAACTTTCATTCTAAAAATGATTAAATTAACATTCATTACAATATTAATTTCTTGATTAGGCTCACTATTTAATTTTCCAGTATCTCTGGGGGATAATAGCCTTCTCCTACTTCTGACTATTCCAGCTAATGCATCAATAACTTTATTATCTTCAGATATATTTGATTTATCTTTGTTATTATTTTAAAACCCAAATTTAAAAAGTTCATTTGCCATATCTATATCTAACATTAATTGAACTAACGGTTTAATAAAAGCAGCCAATAATAAAAATATCATTTAATATAAACCTCCAACTCTACTTAAAATTGCCTAAATTTTAACATAAGATCTTTAATATTCGCTATATTTTGGGCTTAAATTTATATTATGTAAGACTAAATATTCGCCATTATATAAGTCAGCCGATTCTCTTAAGGTATCTTAAATCAAAACTTGTTATTTGGAAAAATCTGAAAAAACCAATCCAGAATCTGTTTGGGTTTCTATCACTTTAAATTGCTAAAATATATTTTTAGATGTGGTAATTGAAAATGTATAGTATTAAATGTTTATGACATCTAATGACATATTGGTAGCCCTATTCATTTGTAATAATGAATCACTTAAATGAACTGCATAAAATCCAGAACTTAATTATTTTTTAATATCTTCAATTGGGGCACAATCCATATTATTAGTTGAATTCTTACACACTGAAACAGTGATTGTCAATGATGAATATATAGGACTTGTTTTAATTCCTTGTAATACCTAAAGAAATAATAAATAACTTTCATTACAGGTGGATAACTATCCCAATAATCCTTTTGGATGCATTGTACAGAACCCAGTCTAATTCTTGAAAAGTAGTCAACTTGAGTATCAGATAAAAAATGATCTTTTGTACATGCTTCAAGGGGAATAATTGTACAACTAAATTAAAATATTAATTACTTTCTTGTTACATTTGAAGTCTAAGTTTTCTCATTATAGATTCTAAGGGTTTAGCAATTTTTAAGTTAAATATTAAAAAACTTATTTATAGTTGTCAAAGGTTGGCTATTGAGATCAGCCAATGTTATAGCGAGTGTGAAGTTGTTTCTGTTAAGAAAAAATGGCTTAATATATCAAAAATATACAGATGTCTCAATTACTTGTCTTTCTGATTGAATCACATTTGGTGAATCTTTGGCCACTAATTCTTATATTCCAACAACTAAATAAGCTAAAGCAAAGAATAAAGTTCCAATTGTAAAAAGGGCCCCTATAGTAGAATTATATTTCTATTTTCCCAAAATTCTAAAGGAGGGTGGTTATCCAAACATGTCAAACTTTAAAGCAAATTAGCGAATATTATCAAATAGTGATTATTACATCGTATTATCAAAAAAAATAATTATAATATCAACATAAATTGATATTATTTCTAATCTAATCTTAAAAAAGTTTTATAGGAATTTAAATTTATTTGATGATAATCTTTTGTAATTAAGAAAGCAGCTAGTCATCAATTTCAAAACTAAATACTCATCTTAAGTAATTTATCATATATTTCTTGCATTATATTTGAGAGTATTGAGAGTGAAATCGATTATCCAAATAATTATAACTTTAAATTAGAACAAAAATATAGTATCACTAGGTACGTAAAAGAATTAAATTATGAAGGAAGATGCGTATAAATGATCCTGTATTAAATTATAAACTGAATTAATTGAAGTTTTTATAAAAATTAATGTCAACATAAAATGGAAAGGGGTAATAAGGTTAAAATGATATGACAACGTAAAGAAGAAAAAATGAAGTCAATTTGAGAGTGGCTCTCCAATATTATTCATCATATGATAAATTTAATGATGATCATTCTTTAGAATAGGTTGCTGCAGGTTTGGCAAATTTGGAATTCATGAAACGTAACTGTCCTGAAGGAACAAAATTAGAGGATTTTTGTGTGCATGCAGGACAATATTTTGAATTTGAATAGTACAAATATGGAGATATTATATTTCATTATGGTGACACAGGTGATAAGGTTTATATTATTTTAAAAGGAGAAGTTGCTGTTCTTGTACCAAGATCTGAAAGTGAAATAGAAGCAGAAAGAGAAGAAATAAGTTTAGCAAAATAACCATTCGATTTTGAAATGTTTTGGAAAAATAAGAAACCTTTAAAACAAATTTATATAGAAGTATTATTAGCTTAATTAAATTCAAATGTATACTTTTAGGATAATGTTTGCATGTTTAAGAAGGTGTTTTAGTTTTATTCTGGATAATCTTTTGGGGATGTAGCTCTTATTTCTGATAAACCCAGAACTGCTAGTATTTTTGTAACATCTGATTAAATCTTTTTAATTAGTATGCGTAAAAAGGATTTTAAAATTTTATGTGAAAAGTCAATTCTAGAAATGAATTAAACATTAGATTATTTTGTTAAATTATTTCCTAATGTTGGAAGAATGCAAATAACCAAATTTATATAGTTTTTTCATAAACTAGAATTTCCACCACAATAATTGTTATGGAAAGAAGGTGAACAAATCAAATATTTTTTATTAATTTAGAAGGGAAGAGTTGAAGTAAAATAATCATAATAACCTTTATATTAAGTGTCTGATAATTCTTTTATAGGACATGAAGAAATCTTGGATAGCCTATAATATAGATAATATACATGCAAAACATTAGATAACACAACTGTTTATTTCATGGAATAAGAAGATTTTAATAATGCTAAAAAAAATGCTCCAGATATTGTTAAATTATTAATAGAAAAAGCCAAGCTTATGACTTCTTTTCTAGAATAAAGAAAAGATGAAGTAAAAAAAGGATAGATCTATGTAGAACCACTTTCGTTACCAGTTGAAAGAAGATTAGTTAAAGATATGTTTATAATTAAGTCTCCAAGGAAAAAAGAAGTTAGATCAAATTAACCAAAATGTTTAACTTATTTTGACATAACAAAATTTAATAAATCTAAAGCTAAACCAAATAATATACCTTCATAATAATCTATTTCTGAAGATTTATACTTTTCAAAAGAGAAGAATATTAAAACTACTCAATCTCCCTCCAATTTTACATAAAAAGTTTCCCCTATTAATAAACAAATGAAAGACATTTTGATGAAAAAATTTAAGTTGAATTTTAAATTTAATGCTTTGAAATCTTTTTAAATTAGCTCTTGCAAATCAATTCATGATTTTAATAGTAAGAGTCGATTTAAAACAGAACCAAGTATTGATAATTGATTATTATTATTAAAATATCATTTTTTATGCAAATTTATACTTATCATGTTAATAAAACCAAAGATTTTTTATTTCTACGGTTCCAGAAATACAAAATTAAACAAAAAGTTACTAAGAGTATGATGATACCACCTAATACACCTACTAAAATCCAAACCCATGAAAGACTATAAAATAATTATAATAATTTTTACTCTGAGTTTTCATCATTATCATCATCATTATCATTGAAATAAACCAAATTTACTACTCCTGAAGATTTTCCATAATAATTACTTACTGTGATTTAAATTGGTTATTCTTCAACTAAAGTAAGATCATCAAAACTTATGATTATTTTTGATTAATATTAATATTTCATTAAAGTATGAATACCTCTTGCTTCATCATATTTTAAATTAGTAAAGAAGTATGTGTTATTTTACTCTAGTTCAATAATCAAAACAATTTAAGTAGATAAAATTCCTTAATAGTTTTCATATAAAGCATAATTACTAGTAATAGTTGTTGAAGAATTGCTATTGGATAATTCATACATAACAATTATTGCTTCTTATCCTTATCTATATGGTATTAAAATATAATTTAGAGATACTGCAATCTTATTTACAGATGTCCAAGTTCCAAATGGAGTTAAAATAAATTTTAACTTAATCTTATCTAGAATTAAATCAGGAACATTTCCGATTTCTAAAGGAATACTAAATATATATTATGCAGCGTTATTTGTCTAGATCAACAAATTAAAAATTTAAAGTGTTCCTGAAGTTTCAGATGAAACTAATCTTATAGATAAGAATTCTGTATCTTAATGAACATAAAATTTATCATGTTAAAAGTTAATCAAATCTAAAAATTCTATATTTTATATATAACTTAAATCAAGTAATTTAAAGTGATTAATTCTTAAACCAAAATTTTAGTCTGTAAAAAAGACTGAATAGAAAGAATTGTGCTTAACCACTTAAAAACTAGCAATTCTCAATGAATTTAAATTTAACAATTAAGCTGTGATACTTCTACTCAAAGTTAAAGTGTTATCAGCATTTATATAATATGCCTAAATAGATGATTCAAATTGTGTATAATCTTAAGGATTGCTATTCAGAATAAATAAGTGGTTATTATTGAACAATTACAATCCACTTATTCTATTTGCGTTTGGAACACTAATCTTTGAAATAATAGTACATTCCAAATTAGTTCCACAATCAATAATTACAATCGATGGAACCTAAGCAAGAATGGAAACTATAAGGAATTTCTTATCTTCAGAAATAAATAATCCATCCCCTTGTTCTAAAATTGATAGATTCAAATTAACAACTTTATTAAATTATCCATCCTTGTTAGTAAATATTAACTACTTAGATGTTAAAAAGACAGCATAACTAACATCATATAATAATCCATCAATTATATTAAAATAAAGATTCTAACCATCACTAATGTTCATTATCGGTGGTAATAATTTTGCTTAAAAACAAGATTTACAATCAATTTATATTTGAGTTATTTACCCAGTATATAAGGTCTTATCAATATTCAATTATGCTGATTTACTATCTTTTTTCACTTTAAAAGTTTGATTTTGAGAATTTTCAAAAATAGGCTGGCTATGTGTATCCAAAAAAAATATTTATTATTAAATGTTCTTGCTAAATTATTCATTTGATGCCTTTACACCAGTTACCATTTTATTTACATAATTATCAGAATGTAAATTACTCTTTACTTATAATAAAGAATCTTATAAAACTGAATAAACTTGTTATGAATAGTGCAAAAACATTTAAAGTCCTCCATCAACTTCAACTGTTGCATTTACTATATTTCCAAGTTTTATCACTTTTTTTAATGATTGATGAGACAAAACTCCTGGTTCATAAATCAAAATCACTGTTTATTTTTCATCTTAGCATCTTACAAATAGCCATCCTGATTCTTCACATGAATCAGCTACAATAGTATCTTATATTTTATAATTATATAAAGGAAGACTCTTTGTTTTATATATAACTTACAGATGTTTGTAGTTGTATTCATCAATTATAAATTCTTTTGCCGATTTTTATATTATATAGAAATAGTCTTTACCTATAGCTATTTTAATCTAAGCATCAACTATTGTATTGATTTATTTAATTATTGTAAAAGTACCACTATTAGATAACAGAGCAGCATTTCCAATAATTACTTAAGTGGGGGTTTAGATAAAAATAATATCAATTAATCTATTTCCAAATACATTTTTTGGAGATATAATATCAGAAATAGTATAGGCTAATTTAAAAGGGATGAATTAGTCATAAATTTAAATCTTATTTTATATTACAACAAACATTTTACTATAAAGTACATTAAATGATAAAATTTTTTCATCTAATGTTAATTTCTCTTATTCTACAAATTAAGCTGTTTCTTTATCAAAACTATATAAATGTATTTGGTTTTCTGATTCTTAAATAACGAAAAATATCTTTTTAATTTCAAACCACCAATGAAAAGTGCTTTTTGTGAGAATGCTTTTGAATGAAACCTTTTTAAGTTCAGTGCATTCTGCTTAAACATTTTTCAATTAATTATGTTAACATTAATAAATATAAGCATCTTTTGAATCTTATTATTATAATAGATAAAATGATTCCGAATTTATCTCATATATATCTGTAAAAATAATATGTTCTTATTATATTTTAATGTTTAATTTCCACATTTCTTGAATATCAATATAAATTTTCTGAGAAGATTAATCATCTAATGGTTGGTATGAAATGTCTGGTCCTATTGCTAATAAATCAACATTTATTGGATCAGATGGAATAGTTAAGGCTTATGGAAGTGCATTGTGTCCAGTTTCATAAAGTTAGGTATCGTTCTTATAAACAATTTGAATTTTTATGTCTACAGTACAAATATTTCCAGATTTTGATTTGGCAATTATTTGTGTAAGATATTATTAATCTGTTTTTGAATCCTATTAATACAATCTTAGAATTCCATCATTAATTAAAAATCTATGTGTGGATACAAAATTAATTCCAATCAGATCAGGTTCATAAGGATTAATAATCATAATATCTACAACATTTTCAATAAACGTATAAAGAAGCTATTTCTAATCATAAATATATATTTTTTCTTAATATTTTAATACTATATATTTTTAACTTATTTCTATTTATATATTTTATTATTTGACGTCACCTGGTAATTTTAATATTGATTTAGGTTGATTATTTTAAAAATATTAAATTCTATCTTCATAAACTAAAACTAATTAAGCTATTTAACCATTTTAGCTAAATAAATAATTAAAATCAAAGGCATATATTTATTATCCATAATTTAATCTAGACCATTCCTTAACTAACCATTTCTAAGCCTATAAAATTTTTAAAACATATATTCCATTAAAGGAGTCTAAAATAAATATATCTCCATTTGGTTCAATTTACATATCTAGAAATACAAAATTAAAGGTTGATTATTAATTTAATAAAGTTGCCAAACTTTCAGAATCTAGTGTTAGCCATGGATCTGTTGTAATATTACCATTTTTAATTTAAAAAACTTCAATAAAGGACCCTTTGCCTTCTTAATATTGTCCTCTTAATATTAGTTATAATGAACCAGTTTCATAATTAAAAGTATGAACCAATATTTTTCGAATGGATGGTGAATCATATTTTTAATTGTTTTCTATAAATGTTACATTTCCTGATGTATCTACTTCCACAAAGTAACTTTTATTCAAATTCGTACAATCAATAATATACTTAGTTTAAGAAAGAAAGTCAACATCTGAACATCTAAAATTTGGATCTTATTTTTCTACTTTAATATAATTATTAAACTAAGGAACCTTGTCATTATCAGTTGGTTACCTTATAATATATATATGTTGAATACCCTAATGAATAAAAGATATCTACAGAAATTGCATCTTATTCTATAAATACAAAGCTATTTAGCCAAGCTCCAGTTAATTAATTGATATAAGGCTTTAATGATATAACTTTTTCACCAACTATAATTATTTTATTCTATAATAACATGCTTTATGCATCCAAGACCCCAATAAAGTCAACGGCTATCTGATTTCAAAATATTTTGATGGTTTCTCAGACAGAGAAAAATCTAAATTTTCTCCAGAAAAAAATGTTTCTCTTATGTTCCATTCATATATTTCTTCAACGCTTGCATAAATTGAGTATTCACTCTATAATTTTGCTAATTATAAGTTTTATCATACAGCATTCTTATAATGTCAAAAGAAATAATTAGAGAATGGTAAATATTCTGTATAACATTTATATTTAATAAAATATTTAGTATTTTCAATTTTTCTTTGGAATAAGTTTTAACTTCTGTTATTAATATTATTGTTAGATTTATGAATTATGTGATATTTACGTAGATTAAAGTTATTCTTTTTACTTACTATTCAAATGTAATCCTTTTAATCCTTTACTCATAAGCAATAATTTTTATTTTTTACTCATTTTTTCTAGAATGGATTGATTTCTTTTTTTCTTTTGGCTATATTCATACCATCTTGAAAGAGATATTCTTAAAGTATAGAAATTGTTAGATTTCTAATATTCTAAAATAAATTTAATAATTACCATCAAGTCTTAATTATTTTAATTAAACTATGGTTTATAACTTAAAAAAATATTTTCGAATTATGAAAAAATTTCTAAAATGTTTAGATTTGAATGCCAAATGCTTCTAAAAATTAATAAATAACTTAAATTTATTCCAATATTTTCTTAATCGAAAAATATCAGCAATTTTATTAGATTTGTGATCATCTTCTTTAGAGATAGTTGAAATAACACTTTTTGAAGATTCTCTCCCTGGTGTGTAAAACTTGACTTCATTTCTAGGGGTTTTGGCTTAAATTGATTTTTTGCCTGCACTCTTTCTACTTAAATCCTTTTTTGGAGGACTCTATGGTAATTATAATTTATATGGCTAAGGTTATTGACTTTATGTTTTCCATGCTAAAAATATTTCTTTTAAATTTCTTTTATTTACTTTATTACTAAGCTTATATTGAAATTATTTAATACTAATTCAATGATCTAAAATTCTTTTTTCATTTGTTAAATCATATTTATCATTAATGGTTAATAAGCACTCGCAAGATTTCTCAAATAATAATTATTCAATTTATCTAAGCCTTTTTTTACTTTTTAAGGATCTGTCTTTTTTGACTGCTTAGTTTATTTTGGTTAATTAAAGTATGATGTTTTTATTATTGCTCTCATTAATGAAAAAATATTAATAAAATAAAATATAATTATATATTTAATATTTCTATACCTCTAATTAATTCAATATTCATACTATGCTTTGACTTATGATAGTTATTCTATAAAGATAATTTAGTTTAAGTAAATTTTAGATAATTATTTTTTTTATTTATAATTATTAACTAAACTTAGCAACCAATATCGAATGATTAAGAATCCTAATAAAAAAGGCCATTTTAGGTGTTACTAGATTATATTAATCAGAAAAATATTGATGAATTAATTTAATAAAGAAATCTATGCATAAACTTTTGGCAAAAGAATTAAATTTTGCAGATTCAAATTTTTAATTTTTCCCATTACCCAACAATATAATAATTTAATATTATTTATTATTCTAATCAAATTCTAAATTTGCAAATGATTTGTCCAAATATAGCTTGTAATATCTTGTTCATTCAATACATAAAGAACAATTTAAATTACTCTTTTTTTTCTCTATTTTACTTCTATTTAAGAAAAAGCAGTGTTGATACTACATAAGGCTAAATTATGCCAAAGTGTTTTCTAGCTTACTTCTATTTATTAATTTGTATAAAAGAGTTTGAGTATAAAAATTTTTCAAATTTGTGTCATTTGTAATATTTTCTTTAATGATTTTTACCTTTTTGATATTGTACATTACAAGTTAAGGACAATGTAATTTTTTATCAATGATTTTTGTTTAATTAATTTTATGACTAATATATTCAACAGGATTATGACAGTGATAATTGTAAATGCCTTCTACTCAATATTCTATTTTACAATTTTAAATCAGATCATGGGTTTTCAATAAAGTTGGTTTATTCTGAATTTGTAAATATATTAAAAAATCTCAAAAGTAAGAAAAGCAGCTTCTCCAGAAATCTTTATTAATTAAAAAGATAAAATTTTTAGATTAATAATTATAGAAACAATTATTTTTTATAGAATATCAAGAAAAATAATGAGTTATTTATTTTTTTCATTATACAAAAGTATCTATATTCTATATTTATTATATATATATTGATCCATAAAATTTATCAAATCAATATATATAATGGCAAAAGTCATAAGTCCTCAAGATTAAACATCTCTATTGGAGGTTGAGAATTAAATTGCATTTAGTCAAAAAAATTGTGCTTAAGTTTTTTTCTTTACATGGGTTTATCGATTGTTGGGCGTAAATTTATATAGAGATATTTCAATAGATTGGAAAGGAAAAACCTTTAGCTTAAAATGACTTAGTGATAGTTGATTAAGATTCCAGAATGGGATCATCCCATTAAAAATTTATAACCCTTTTTAGGGAAAGAGATTTACGAAATTCATTATACCAATCATTTAAGTGTAAATCATAAATCTTTAGTTTTAGGTTTAATACTATTCTGTGCAGTGATTTATTTAATTGTTTCTGGGCTTTAATTGTGTTTGCCAATAATAACTTAGGAATCATAAAAATTTTTCATTTATGATTAGCCAGAAGATAAGCCTCTTTTATCGCAAATGCTTTATTTTGCAGCTATTTAGCTTGTTTATATGATAACCCTTTCTTTAATCAAGCCATATTAATTATTTTATGGTTCCTTGTTGAGTATTAAATAATAAGGAGCATTATAACAAGAAATTCTAATAAAAACATTAAATTTTCCAATTTCTCGTTCTCAACATTATTCAACTGGAGAACTTATCAATATGATGTAAGTAGATATAAATTAAGCTTCAAATTACTTTCTTAATGCAATCATAATTTTTACTGTTCCATTACAACTTGTTAGTGCATTCATAGTAATATTTATTACATTAGGAAATTAAGCTATAGCACCTTCAGTGGGTGCAATAATTTAAGCAATAATTGGTATTATTTTTGGATATTATTATGGAATTATATAGAAGAGATATATGATCGCTAAAGATAATCGAATGAAAGCAGTTGATGAATCGTTAATTTTTGCAAAACAAGTTAAATTGAACACGCTCGAAGATTTTTTCGAATAAAGAGTAATAATTTATAAATATATTATAGATAAAAGATTATAGAGAGAAGGAATTAAAACAGTTAAAAAATTAAGTGTTAATGATGATTTTTATTTAACTAATATAGGGATTTATGACAGTAATGACTTGGGAAAGTGTTTTTTATTTTTCAGATGGAATAAACTTTGCAAATATGAGCATCATGATGTTAAATTATTCTAGTATACTTAACATCTTATCTAACTTACCTTAACAATTCAAGAATTTTTAGATGTCAAGAAATTCAATGGCTAGATTAGATAATTATTTTAAATAAAATGAATGTAATAAAATAGAAAGATTAAGTGAGAATGTTAATTTTGCTATAAAAATAAATAATGGTATATATAGTTGGAAAAGTAATGATAAAATGAATTAAGATGTAATAGAAAAGAATGATGAAGATGAATAAAAAATAGAAGATTAGAGTATTTTTAATATAAATATGAATGTTGAAATAAAGAAAGGATAATTTGTAGCATTTGTTGGAAAGTAATATAAAAAATAAATAATTTTAGTTCTGCATCTGGTAAATCTACAATATTAAGATCAATTTTAGGGGAAACTGAGAAATAATAAGGAAATATTATAGTAAATGGAACAATAAGTGTTGCAACTTAAGAACCTTGGATTATCAGTGGAAGTATTAAAAAAAATATAACTTTTATGAATTCATTTGATAGTGTAAAATATAAATAAATTATTAAAATTTGTGGATTAGAAAGAGATATTGCTTCATTTAAAAATGGAGATGATACTATTTTAGGAGAAAAAGGTGATAATTTATCAGGAGGACAATAAAAAAGAATTAATCTTGCTAGAGCCATTTATAATGATGCAGATATTTATTTACTTGATGATCCTACTAGTGCTTTAGATATTAAAGTTAAATATTCAATACATTAATAATGTTTCTCATAATATCTTAAAAATAAAACTAGAATACTTTTTACTAATTCATTATCTAATCTATAAGAATGTGATATTATTTATATTATTTCTAATGGATAAATTATATAATAAGGTAAATTTCATTAAATTCTTGGATAAAATCTTAATTAATAATATTAATAAAAAGAAGTTATTGANGATCTTATCGTGAAAAAGAATTATAGTAATTGAAAAACGAAGTTTATATGATGATTTTTCTTCCCCTTATTTAAAGTATATTTGCTATTCTAACTTGGGAAGCAGTTTTTTTTTTAACAAATCCTATTAACTTCACAACTATTAATATCATGATGTCAAATTACTCTAACATTTCTAATATTTTATCTAATTTACCTTATTAATATAAAAGCTTTTAAGTTTCAAGAAATTCAATGGCTAGATTAGATAATTATTTTAAATAAAATGAATGTAATAAAATAGAAAGATTAAGTGAGAATGTTAATTTTGCTATAAAAATAAATAATGGTATATATAGTTGGAAAAGTAATGATAAAATGAATTAAGATGTAATAGAAAAGAATGATGAAGATGAATAAAAAATAGAAGATTAGAGTATTTTTAATATAAATATGAATGTTGAAATAAAGAAAGGATAATTTGTAGCATTTGTTGGAAAGTAATATAAAAAATAAATAATTTTAGTTCTGCATCTGGTAAATCTACAATATTAAGATCAATTTTAGGGGAAACTGAGAAATAATAAGGAAATATTATAGTAAATGGAACAATAAGTGTTGCAACTTAAGAACCTTGGATTATCAGTGGAAGTATTAAAAAAAATATAACTTTTATGAATTCATTTGATAGTGTAAAATATAAATAAATTATTAAAATTTGTGGATTAGAAAGAGATATTGCTTCATTTAAAAATGGAGATGATACTATTTTAGGAGAAAAAGGTGATAATTTATCAGGAGGACAATAAAAAAGAATTAATCTTGCTAGAGCCATTTATAATGATGCAGATATTTATTTACTTGATGATCCTACTAGTGCTTTAGATATTAAAGTTAAATATTCAATACATTAATAATGTTTCTCATAATATCTTAAAAATAAAACTAGAATACTTTTTACTAATTCATTATCTAATCTATAAGAATGTGATATTATTTATATTATTTCTAATGGATAAATTATATAATAAGGTAAATTTCATTAAATTCTTGGATAAAATCTTAATTAATAATATTAATAAAAAGAAGTTATTGANTACTTTCTTCTTGCTAACCATTTATTACCAAACATTCTATTTAATTTTTTCCTTAAAACTAGGATCTAAAGCCTTCAGCTACAAGTATGCTACTTTTTGTTATCATCTAACTTATTTATAAATTGATACTTTCACTACTAAAACCTTATTAGTCATTTTATATTTGCCTCCTGAGTGTTAAGTTATAAGGAGCTTTATCATAAGAAATTCTTTTAAAAACTTTGAAATTTCCAATATTAAGATCAAAACACTACTCCACCGGAGAATTAATAAATATGATGTAGGTTGATATACATTAAGCCTCAAATTATTTTTATTATGCTATAATTTTATTTACAGTACCATTATAACTGTTAATTGCATTCATAGTCGTTTTTCTTACTTTAAAAAGCTAAGCAGTTATTCCAGCAATTGGGTCCGTAATTTAAGCAGTAATTGGGATACTATTTGGAGTTTTTTATGGGATACTCTAGAAAAGATATATGGTGGCGAAAGATAATAGAATGAAGGCTGTTGATGAAGCCTTAAACTACGCAAAATAAGTAAAATTGAATACTTTTGAAGAATTTTTTGAATAAAGAGTATTTATTATATTTATATATTAATAGATAAGATCTTATCGTGAAAAAGAATTATAGTAATTGAAAAACGAAGTTTATATGATGATTTTTCTTCCCCTTATTTAAAGTATATTTGCTATTCTAACTTGGGAAGCAGTTTTTTTTTTAACAAATCCTATTAACTTCACAACTATTAATATCATGATGTCAAATTACTCTAACATTTCTAATATTTTATCTAATTTACCTTATTAATATAAAAGCTTTTAAGTTTCAAGAAATTCAATGGCTAGATTAGATAATTATTTTAAATAAAATGAATGTAATAAAATAGAAAGATTAAGTGAGAATGTTAATTTTGCTATAAAAATAAATAATGGTATATATAGTTGGAAAAGTAATGATAAAATGAATTAAGATGTAATAGAAAAGAATGATGAAGATGAATAAAAAATAGAAGATTAGAGTATTTTTAATATAAATATGAATGTTGAAATAAAGAAAGGATAATTTGTAGCATTTGTTGGAAAGTAATATAAAAAATAAATAATTTTAGTTCTGCATCTGGTAAATCTACAATATTAAGATCAATTTTAGGGGAAACTGAGAAATAATAAGGAAATATTATAGTAAATGGAACAATAAGTGTTGCAACTTAAGAACCTTGGATTATCAGTGGAAGTATTAAAAAAAATATAACTTTTATGAATTCATTTGATAGTGTAAAATATAAATAAATTATTAAAATTTGTGGATTAGAAAGAGATATTGCTTCATTTAAAAATGGAGATGATACTATTTTAGGAGAAAAAGGTGATAATTTATCAGGAGGACAATAAAAAAGAATTAATCTTGCTAGAGCCATTTATAATGATGCAGATATTTATTTACTTGATGATCCTACTAGTGCTTTAGATATTAAAGTTAAATATTCAATACATTAATAATGTTTCTCATAATATCTTAAAAATAAAACTAGAATACTTTTTACTAATTCATTATCTAATCTATAAGAATGTGATATTATTTATATTATTTCTAATGGATAAATTATATAATAAGGTAAATTTCATTAAATTCTTGGATAAAATCTTAATTAATAATATTAATAAAAAGAAGTTATTGACTTTTAATTTGAAGATAAGCACTATAAATAAGAATCCCCTGAAAATTAAGATATAAGATCAAGTTTAATTCAAACTGAAGATTAGGAAAAAGGAGCTATATCTAATTCAGTCTTAAAATAGGTTTTCATCTACTTGGGTAAATATGTTGCTCCTTTGTGTAATGTACTTTATTTTATTACTGTTTTGGGTTTCTAATTAATTGGAAATAAATATATGGCCCAAACAAACATAAGTGATGAAGAATATAGATAATTAGCTTTAGTATATTTTCCTTTGATTTAATCACCTATTCTAATTGCAATCATTTTATTATGTACATATTATTTAATTATGGGCTTATCTACCTCAAGGAAAATTCATAATTCAGTTATTCATAGTTTATTAAATGCCTCCTACACTAAATTTTATAATACAATTCTTATAGGAAGATTGATGAATAGATTAAGCAAAGATATTTATAATATTGATTTATTATTTCCAAATGAAATTCAAAATTTAACAATTTAAATTACAACATTATTACTCCCATTATTTGCTTGTTTTCTATACTTAAACATAGTGGCAATGCCTTTTTTAATAATCTTTTTTATTATTCTCATTTATATAACAGTAATTTACTATAGATGTTTAAGAGAAATAACTAGAATTGAAGCTGTATCAAAGAGTCCTGTTTTTTCTTTTTTTTAGCAGATTGTTAGAGGAATAATTTATGTTAGAACTTGCCTACCAACCGAAAAAGTGGTAATTTAATAACAAAGAAATGTAGACATTGATCTTGGTAATTAGATCAATCTATATGGTTTTTAATATTGGTATTAATAATTAGCTGGATCAATTACAAATATATTTTAAGCTTTACTATTTGTTATTTGTGTATTTATAAATTTTAAAATAGTTTATTTTTCCAGGACAGACTTAAGAAATGACAATTATGGTTCTAACTTAGATGCAAGCTGTTTCTTAATTGCTACTAAATGCGTCCATTTCTTACGGAAATATACAAATGTATCTTATTAGTTTTGAAAGATGTTTGCATTTAGCTAAGTATTTTATTTTTATATTACAAAAGTAATATCGAAAAAGAAGAAAGGTCTATTTCTTTAATTACACCTACTGGTGATGAAACTGATAATAGTATGGAAAAATAAAAAAAAGAAATGGATGATAAATCGGTAAAATAGGAAAATGAAAACGCTGAGTCAAATATTGTTCTAAAACTTGATAACTGCACATTTTAATATAGATCAAACTCTAAATGTGTTTTATAATAATTATCGCTATAATTATAAAAAAAAGAAAAAGTAAAACATTTTCTAATTTTAGATTGGAGTAGTTGGAAGAACAGGAGCTGGAAAAAGCTCGATAATTTTAGCTTTGACGGCTATTTTAGAGTAGATTGAAGGTTCGATGGAAATAGAAAAAAAGAACATCAATCATTATTCAATTAATGAACTAAGATAAAAATTTGGAATAATTCCTTAAGATCCACTTATATTTATGGGAACTTTAAAATAAAATTTAGATCCTTTAAATAAATATGAGGAATTTTATATTTAAGATATAGTTCAATAATGTGGTTTATTAGAAATGCAAAGCTTTAAATAATAAGGATTGAAGAGTGAGATTGGTTTATCAGGTAGTAATCTATCTTTAGGAGAAAAATAATTATTAAATATTGTTAGATGCATTCTAGAAAATAAAAATATAGTTCTAGTCGATGAAGCTACATCTAATATTGATTCATAAACTGAAGAACAAGTTAAAAATGTATTTTTATTTTAAAATTTATTTAGTTATTTGAAAAATATTTTTCAAATGTTGCAATGATATCAATTGCTCATAAAGTAACAACAATAATGAATTCAGACAGAATTATGGTATTAAATGATGGAAAAATAACTGAGTTTGATCATCCATAAAAATTACTGGCTGATCCAAATAGTGAATTTAAAAAAATTATAGATCTTATAAAACATTCTGAGGAGCTTTGATTAATCAAAAATATATTTTAAAGAGATAAATATCATATAAACAAAAACACTTCTTTATAAATTAATTAATTTTTTAAAGTTTTTATGTATATAATTATCTGAATAATGTAAAATAGAGGATTAATCATTGAAATTTTATCTAACTTATGCTCACATATTTAATATAAAGTGAAATTTTTTATCTAATTTAGCTTTGAATTTAATTTCTATTTTAAAATCCCAATTACTTACAAAAAAAATCCAAATAAATTAAATATATATTCCTAATAAAATAAAACTTATATTAAAATAAATTTTGCTGAAACTAAAAAATATTAGTTCTAGTTTGGTAGTTTAGGGATAATAAATATTTAATTCGTTCATTCTAAAAAATAGTGGATTTAATCACTGGTTTAATTTTAAAAACATTTTATGGTTTATTTAGTGATTATTTAAGTTATTTATATATAAATAAAAAATTAAGTAAGTAAATGTCAATAATTATTTATAAATTTTTTATGAATACTATAAATAAGGCCTAATTATTAGATGTTGATAATTAAATCCAATTTAATCAAAAAAATTGTGGTAATATTTTTTTTTTTGCTTGGATATATCGATTACTAGCTGTACATATTTATTTCAAATAATATTCTTTAGATTGGTAATAAAAAGCCTCTAGTATAATCAGATTTGGCTATCATCGATCAAGATTGCAATATGGAGACATCTTATTCTAAATTCTCATCTATAAAGCAAAAGTTATTGTGGGTTAATTTGCTCTATTCTTTCAAAGGTAACTATAGATAATGATAGTATTTAGGATTGATATTTTTTTGTACCATCCTATATTTGTTAATAGCTCTACTTTCTTCTTGCTAACCATTTATTACCAAACATTCTATTTAATTTTTTCCTTAAAACTAGGATCTAAAGCCTTCAGCTACAAGTATGCTACTTTTTGTTATCATCTAACTTATTTATAAATTGATACTTTCACTACTAAAACCTTATTAGTCATTTTATATTTGCCTCCTGAGTGTTAAGTTATAAGGAGCTTTATCATAAGAAATTCTTTTAAAAACTTTGAAATTTCCAATATTAAGATCAAAACACTACTCCACCGGAGAATTAATAAATATGATGTAGGTTGATATACATTAAGCCTCAAATTATTTTTATTATGCTATAATTTTATTTACAGTACCATTATAACTGTTAATTGCATTCATAGTCGTTTTTCTTACTTTAAAAAGCTAAGCAGTTATTCCAGCAATTGGGTCCGTAATTTAAGCAGTAATTGGGATACTATTTGGAGTTTTTTATGGGATACTCTAGAAAAGATATATGGTGGCGAAAGATAATAGAATGAAGGCTGTTGATGAAGCCTTAAACTACGCAAAATAAGTAAAATTGAATACTTTTGAAGAATTTTTTGAATAAAGAGTATTTATTATATTTATATATTAATAGATAAGATCTTATCGTGAAAAAGAATTATAGTAATTGAAAAACGAAGTTTATATGATGATTTTTCTTCCCCTTATTTAAAGTATATTTGCTATTCTAACTTGGGAAGCAGTTTTTTTTTTAACAAATCCTATTAACTTCACAACTATTAATATCATGATGTCAAATTACTCTAACATTTCTAATATTTTATCTAATTTACCTTATTAATATAAAAGCTTTTAAGTTTCAAGAAATTCAATGGCTAGATTAGATAATTATTTTAAATAAAATGAATGTAATAAAATAGAAAGATTAAGTGAGAATGTTAATTTTGCTATAAAAATAAATAATGGTATATATAGTTGGAAAAGTAATGATAAAATGAATTAAGATGTAATAGAAAAGAATGATGAAGATGAATAAAAAATAGAAGATTAGAGTATTTTTAATATAAATATGAATGTTGAAATAAAGAAAGGATAATTTGTAGCATTTGTTGGAAAGTAATATAAAAAATAAATAATTTTAGTTCTGCATCTGGTAAATCTACAATATTAAGATCAATTTTAGGGGAAACTGAGAAATAATAAGGAAATATTATAGTAAATGGAACAATAAGTGTTGCAACTTAAGAACCTTGGATTATCAGTGGAAGTATTAAAAAAAATATAACTTTTATGAATTCATTTGATAGTGTAAAATATAAATAAATTATTAAAATTTGTGGATTAGAAAGAGATATTGCTTCATTTAAAAATGGAGATGATACTATTTTAGGAGAAAAAGGTGATAATTTATCAGGAGGACAATAAAAAAGAATTAATCTTGCTAGAGCCATTTATAATGATGCAGATATTTATTTACTTGATGATCCTACTAGTGCTTTAGATATTAAAGTTAAATATTCAATACATTAATAATGTTTCTCATAATATCTTAAAAATAAAACTAGAATACTTTTTACTAATTCATTATCTAATCTATAAGAATGTGATATTATTTATATTATTTCTAATGGATAAATTATATAATAAGGTAAATTTCATTAAATTCTTGGATAAAATCTTAATTAATAATATTAATAAAAAGAAGTTATTGA